TCTAATTGAATATCCTCAGTCCGAGCTCCAAGGTTTTCACCGAGTTCCAACTTTGCAGGTGTATTCAAAATAGAAGGTAGTATTAAATTTAAATTATGCTTGTCTTTAACTGTTTGTATATTATTTCTCAGTCTTATTAGCAACCTTGACGTTTCTGACCAATGTTCATTGGTTAATACATCTTTATGTTGATATATCAATAATCGAGCTTCGTTAAAGCTGTCGATCAATGTTATGGAGTGCCTATTAACTGTATCTATATGCGTTTGTCTATTTTGTGTTAGACATTTATACGCTTTTACAAATGTCGTTTTAATATTTTGGATCCGCTCAGATAGTTCTGGCCATTCCATAATATTGACAAGCTACTTTGTTTTTCAAGATTATTCTGGGATATTCTTACTATTCATCATATTTATTTTTCATTATTATTTATTTTTTTTTTTTATTTATTTTGTTTAATTGGTATCTTATAGTTATTATGATATTGTCAATTATGATTAATCATTGTTGTTTGTGCTGTGCAAATATAAATTTTGTCCAAGTCATTTGCTCGGCTCATGAATCTTTTCTTTAGGCATTTGTTATGCAGTTTATATATTTTATAAAAACAATTTGCACACATTATAACAACTATGATTACCAGTAATATATTTGTTAATTCTAAATCTGTGTTGTTTGATTCAACTTTATTTATAACGTTAGCAGTGGAATCCACTGACAACGTCTAATAATCCCATTTTGGAGTTCTGTTCAGAATTATGATTTGATTCAATTAGAAAATCTTCGGAAAACTTACTTATTGCATTACTATTCATAAATAGAACATTTTTCCTGCCTATGGCTTTAATTTGATTCAATTTGTTTTTTTTTTTTTTTTTTATTTCTGATTAAACTGACTGAACTGAAAACTTATTATTTTTTTTTTTTTTTTTCATTTTAAAATTTCAAATGGTGTGGTTATAGTTTTGTCATTAACAACTTTAATATTTTTGATATTCACTGAGTGAGTATGTGGTGTAGGGTTTTCTTTTATCTGTTTCAGCTGTTGCTGATAAAAGTCAAGCATGGCCTGTAGCCTTGCTGTTGCCTTCCACGGTGTGTTGGCCTTGGGTGAATATAATTGCCACTTAATGTGAGCAATTTTTTTATTCAATTTTTTAACCCGGCCACCGCGACCCATAACACTCAGCTTTTTTTTGTTAATTTTTGTTCCGCCTTTGCTTGTTGTTGTTGCCTCCTCATCAATAATTATAGTTGTTTAAGTCTCGGCTTTTATGTTGTTGTTGTTGCTCTGACTGCTGTTGCTAGTGTTGTTGTTCAGTTTTTTTTTTTTTTTTTTGCAGCCCGGTGAAATATGGTCCTGTCACGGTCACCATATAATAGTTCCCATTTTAAATAACAGTTCGTTGATTCCTATGACGAGAAGACGTCAGTCTTCTCTGATGGTTATTTATTCAATGCATCCTGGAGTTAGAGCTGTCCACCGTGAAGCAGTGAGCAGCCGTTTTACATACATGGTTTTTAGGCTTATTATATACAGCAAGAGAGTCAGAGAGAGTCATGCGCGCACTTATGTATACAAATTAAATCAATCTGCTGGTCCAATGAGGCGATAGTTGATCCGTCTCTCGTCCAGTGATGCCTAGTCCAGTGATATTTAGGACGATTATGGTGGAGAGTTTGACTTTACTCTCTTTGCTAATTACTGGCCTTGTGGCTCAGCAATGTTTTGTAAAATATAACAAATGATATTTACGGCAGCGTGCCGGAGTAGTGCAAGTTTATTCTTAAACGTCAAATACAAAACTGAAAACTTAATGCACAGAAAGTTTTACTTAAGCTAAGCCAAAACTCGCATCACGCCACAATGTCATGGTCGGCAAGCCGACTCAGCAAAATCTTAGGCAATAGCGGAAACTCTTGCAGCAAAACAAAAGTGTCCGGTTACCACCGCTGACCATTGCAGCTATTGCGCGCTGATACAAAGTATGCAGTGTCGCAATTGCGGGGGCTGTTCCTTAACTTATGATGCACGCGATTCATATGTATGTATATACATATGTACGCATGCTACAGTGGACATTTGTTTGTGTAGGTTTGTTCATAAATGGGTGATCATATTTCACGCCCACTTGAATTGGTTTTGTTTATGTAATGCAACAAAGTGTTGCTGTTATATTTATGCTGAGTTCTTGGTAGAGTGTACCCTAGATATATGCGCATACTACAATAAAGTAAGTTTTAAATGTATTGAGGATGTATTAGGCGGCAGAATATTAAAAATTGTGTTAAAGCTAAACAATTAATTCAAAATGAGAAAGTATTAGGTAAATCGTGTTTCACGAAATTCGTCAAAAAATAAAAAATATATATTAAATATATAATATACATCTCGTCTGAAAAGAGAATTAAGTATACATTAAAATACCCCCTCCTATCGCCCCTTACCTACCCAGAGAGCTCTTTAGGAAGTGTAAGGTAGTTAAGCGATTTAAAATAACTACAAGCTACATTTACAATTATATATGTATATACATATGTGGGTATTTTGTTCCACATTAGTCCAGAAAACTTTCAACATATAATCGTGTTGTTTCTAGCAGCAACAGGCAAAATCCTTTGGCAATGTTTGTGGTTTTTGTTTTATAAATTTAATGAAGATGTTTGCTTTGTAATAAAAACCTAATAATACAAAATATTCATTTGTCATAATTTTAAGAAAGCGAAAATTATACACACCTAATGAAAAAATAATGTACTGGGCTTGGGTAGGTGGTAATATGTAAATAATGAGCTCAACAACAACAAGGCCACCGATTTTGGTTAATAAATTTCGTTATTATTATTATTATTATTTTGTTTAAAATGTTTTGCCACTGACCTTTTTTCAGATACCCACAGGTTCTACCTGACAGGATTCTATAAGCCAAAACCCATTAGTATAATCAACAAAATTAAACATTTTTCCCATTTTACCCTTAACTTTGTACAACTTAGCCTGAATAGCAGTAAGTCTTGCTAAATGTTTTTCCCTCACATATAACTAGCTTAAGCTGCCAATGTTAAGTAGTAATATTATTGTTAATAATAAAATTATTGTTAATAATAAAATATATTAAAAACAAATATATAAACCCAAAAAAAAAAACTTTGTTTACGTTTTAGTGTCAGCTGCAGTGATGTGCAGATGGTGTAGTTTTCGTGACGGCGGTCACGGGTATACTCACCCATAAGGTGAGTACTGATACTCACCCATAAGGTGAGTACTGATACTCACCCATAAGGTGAGTACTGATACTCACCCATAAGGTGAGTACTGATACTCACCCATAAGGTGAGTACTGATACTCACCCATAAGGTGAGTACTGGCTGGCCGATGCTGCCCCTCGAAAGTCAAACTGACAAGTAATAAGAAAAACAAGAAAAATTGTACAGCAGCCCCGATGCAGCCACATACAAATTGATGGTAAAAATTAACCCAAACATCTGATTTCAGTAACAGAAGTTCTCAATGAACAATTTGTAGAGGCGATAATTTACTTTAGAATTTACTATAAGGTAGCTCAACATTAGACCCCGAAATAATAGAATAAAATTTTGTAGAGATATTTAATTAGGTTCACGTTGCAAAAAAATAGACGACATTATTTGAAACTGAGTATTCAAACTTGCAAAATATATGACCTGGAGTATGAGCGCGACATGGTGCGTTGTCGCAAAAAATTGTGAAACTTCAAATGTGCTAATAAGCTTAAAAGAGCGGAACTAAAAACAACATAAACAGAACAACATTATAATTAGAAACAACAACAGTAGGTACAAAATCGTATTCAATGACAGCAATAATAAAATCTCCAACAATATCATAATCAACAGTAAAAAAACCAAAAAAATCAACAAAATATGTATATGTTTTCTTAATATATTTTATTTGTATGACATGACAGGTATGGTATATATATATAAAGAAGCTTTTTAAAATAGGAAAATTTTAAGTAAAAACTAAACATAAAAGGAAAAAAGAAAGAAAAACAAAACGATTTAAGAAGGCAAAGCCATTGCTGCAACTGCAAATTTCTATTCTTAGCTATGAATGCCGGCGCAGCAGGCACATCAAGTCCACTGAATATAACACTTTTATCCACTATATTTTTAAAAAATAATCATGATTTTTAATAAATATAAGAACTATATAACTCAAACAGAAACTTATTTTTGTCCATTCAAACACAGGGTTTTGTAATATTTGACCTACAATCTAGAAGTTATGGTGAAGGTTTCATAAAAAGTATTCAACAAAACTAGACAACACAGCATGGCAAATACACGCTTGTTTATCAAATATTATTTGAGTTGCAATGTTTCAATGTATACATATTAATATATACATACGTAAAAGCGCCGTTAAGCTAGGCTCTGCCAACTTAAGAGAGTGCTTTCTTGTGGAAACTGGAAGATGATACCTTATGACAATAATAGCCTTTCTCCACTGGCCTAAGAAATGTCACATTTTAAAATTTTAATTTTAGGTACTCTTTCCGACATTTCGCCATGTTTAAATTCTAAATATAATTTTCTTATATAAAAATAAATTTCATATTTAAAGTTACCGCTTGCCTTCGTATATACATATATCATATATATCAGATGTTTATAGTTATGATACTTTCACATGTTTCACAACATCGATAGAAATCTCGATTAACCATCGTAAAAAAACAAGAAATATTTTGATGCTGCATTCTAAAGCTTTACTCAACAGCACCGCTAAAAAAATCATTTCTAATAGAAAATTGCTACATTCCCCTTAAAATTATTTTATTTTTCGCTTTTTCTTCCTCAATAAGTGTTAAAGCTGGGAAAACATCGATAGTCCTAATTCAAATTACTCGATGGTTGTTAAAACCCGAAATACGTCATGTTATCGATAATACAATCAATGGTTTTCCAGCCCTAAAGCAGCTGGCTGGTTAAAAACAAGTGATTCATGCGTATAATAAGAAAATTACAAATAGGTAAAACCGAGCAAATCTAACAAGAAAACTGCCAAATTCTATAAATTAAAACATTTTAATCCCTGGCATCAACAACAACAGCTTCAAACTGGGTAACGACATGTCTACATCTTCAATGGAAAGTAAGTAATATCAATGACGCCATTTCCCAATCGCCAAACAAAAATAACACACCCTACTCTTCTATAGAACACCTTTTCAATTTAAAGTTTGCTGTAAAAGAGCTGGAACGCAATTCAAAGAAATGCGAGAAAGAAGAAAAACTAGAAAAGGCAAAGGCTAAAAAAGCTATTCAAAAGGGTAATATGGATGTAGCTCGCATTCATGCCGAGAATGCTATTCGACAAAAGAATCAAGCCGTGAATTACCTTCGCATGAGTGCGCGTGTGGATGCAGTTGCCAGTCGAGTTCAGTCGGCATTGACAACACGCAAAGTCACCGGCTCTATGGCCGGTGTGGTTAAAGCCATGGATGCTGCAATGAAGGGCATGAATCTGGAAAAAATCTCATCGCTAATGGAAAAATTCGAATCGCAGTTTGAAGATTTGGATGTACAAAGCTCAGTGATGGAAGGCACTATGTCTGATACGGTGACCACATCAGTGCCACAAGGAGATGTTGACAATCTCTTGCAACAAGTTGCCGATGAAGCCGGTCTCGAGCTGAACATGGAGCTACCCAGCGGTGTACAAAGTTCTACCATTGGCGCCTCCACGCAAGTCTCACAGGAACAGGATGAGCTAACACAGCGCCTGGCACGTTTGCGACAAGCTGAATAGATTGTTATGGGTGCCATTCCCTAAACATTTCTTTCAATCCAACGATAATCCCCGGAATTTGTTTTTATTTCTATAAGTATTCCAAAATTGATGTAATTAAATACCAACTCAGCCTCCTAAAAAATGCCTACATATATTTAAAAGTTGCATGTATTTTGAATAACTTTATACCGTAGATAATTGTTGATGTTGTACCGTATGGTGAGCTGTGGTTGCATTGGCATCTGATGTTTGTTTTTTCACGCGCTGTTTTCTGGGCTTGCATGTTGCTTCCGATGTTGCATCTGTCATTGTCTGTTTGCTCTTAGGTTTTGGTCCGCGACGTTTTTGCTCGGGTTTTCCCTTTGGCTGTGGCCCTATCATTGGTATTGAACGCCAATCATCACCATGTTTGTCAAGTTTTTTCTTTAGTAACACCAAATCGTGTGTACGCCGACGTAATATCTTCTTAATTCCATTTACTCTGCAATTGATAGCGCCGCCTTTAGATCTGAATGAGAATTTCGCGTTCCTTGTGCTTACCTCATAACGCATCGTTCATTTTCCGCTTGTATTTGCTGGCACCTGCTGAATATTTTCTCCACAAGCGATTTGTATAGTTCTTGTTTTTTATGTAGCGTCATTTTATCCCAAACATGTTAAAATATATCTATTAAATTGTGGTGATTCGGGAATGGCAGAGTTGCAACTTGCGAGACGTCGATTTTACACATCATCGATGTTCTGAAAACGAATACATAATATATCCGATGTTTTTGGGAATGCGATATATATTCGATTGATGATGTTACCGCTAAAAAACACCAAGCACTGCACTGTGCAAAATCTCATTTTATTTACTTTGAAATTATTGCATCATAAAATTTTATAAAATACGAAAATTCTAAAATTAAACTGACTACGTTGTAAGGCAGAAGCTGTAATTGAGAAATGTAATTGTTGAAAATATTGCAATCTTCATTGATACATATTTTACGATTGAACTTTTTTCCTTTATGCTTGTATGTATTGGCAAATAATATACGCGTATGTGAGCTACGGCTTATACTCTATTCTGACTCTCACATTTTTCTACGGCAGAAATCTCTTTTTTAGAATAATTTCAAAATATTCTCAAAATATAAACCTAATCGGTGTTTCGTCCGACACGCTAAAAATATATTTTTGAAAGATATTCTAAACAGAACGTAAATGTAAAATTTATAACAAATTAAATAAAATATCGATTCAAATCAGTTAATAAAAATATCGATAAGCATCAAATATCTAGATTACGTTTAATTTTTTTTAAGCATGGTAACTCTGAACAAGTTGTAAACCGGCTGCAATTTAAGAAAAATTACAAAGCAAGAAAATTATTTTTACTGAACCAACACAAACAACTGACTACACACAGGACTGCCTCGTGCTGTCCTAGCCACAACGTATCTGGTCATCTGCCGCATTACTTTGCGACGACCAACCCCATAGACAGTTCTCGCAACTGTCTTCACCAAATCAAAAAAAAAAAAAAAAAAAAAAAAAAGAAAATTATTTCAAGTGTTATATGGCTAATTCAAATGCAAACCAATTGCATCTAATGAGTTCATCGACCGGAACTGCATCTCAAATGCCCACAATGGCCCAGGGGCACACTACAGCATCAGCCATTTTACACAATTTTCGAGAGTTAATCAAGGAACCAAAAGGATTGGACGATGCTGCAAACTATTTGTTCCAGGGGCTACTCGATGATGTGGTAGCCGGCATTTTTATAGAAATTCATCATTTGCGTAAGACCGGCAATCTGACAGCACTTGATGGTGTCGGCGAAGAAAATGCAGAGTCTGCGTACCGAATTTGTGAGATGCCAAATTTGGACATTTTTGGCATATCAACAGCCAAGAAGCCGATGGACTGCACCTGCCCAAATTGTGACAGACTAGTGGCGGCGACCAGATTTGCACCACACTTGGAGAAATGCATGGGGATGGGGCGCATTTCATCTCGCATTGCCAGTCGACGATTGGCAACCAAGGAGGGCACCAGCGCAAGCTCCACCTCTACTTCAACATATTTACAGTCGGGCAATACAGGCGGTACCGATGACGAAGATGATGTGGACTGGTCATCAGATAAGCGCAAAAAGAAGTCAACACAGAACTCACGCAACAACGGATCCAAAAAGAACAATGGAAAAACATTTTAACGTGATATCGTTGGTTTCTATTAAGCCTTTCTTTATTGCCTAATATATGGAATGCATCGTATAAGTATACTTCCTAGTTATTCTTCATTTACATGAGTTGTGTAAACGTGTACATAGTCAATAACCAGATTGGGCTGTTTCCAGGATTCCCTAACCGCTTGTTCAGTAAAAAGTTCCGTAGCCTTTACTGCTCCATTCATGAATGTTACCTGCTCTGGCATCAAGTAATCATGTGGGAAGTTGAGACCTCCACCTGCAGTCAGACCCAACACTAAAAAACACTAAAGAGAAGTTATGAATAAATGGAAGTTGTTTCTTATTAAAAGAAGAACAATGATACATTAGAAGACGTCAACTGTGGTACACAGATGTCAGTATTAAAATTGTATACATAAATTTTTGGGTACGTAGCACCAGTACAACATATGTTGTATGGTTAGTATGTATGTATGTATGGCATTTCAGATACGAGAAATAAAGAAATTAGTTGAATTTGGTAAAGGCCCAAACACAAACATCCGGTACGATCATTACTTCCAATTATTTTTTTTTTATGCGTGTCTTAAAAATTATATATTCAGAAATACTAGCGAGGGCCTAAGAAAATAATGGCGTGGTTGGACAAGACTATGCTTACCTCGTTTAAGTCGAACGTCCGAAGCACATCGGGATGCGTTATTGTTCCGTACTTTAATCCGTCCACCTTAAAAATAATTCGGTCCTTGTGCCAAATTAAAGTATAAATGTGAAACATATCGCCAAATTGCCTATCGAACAAATTTCGTTTGATGGTCATATGCTCCCTGGCTCCTTCTTGGGACCAAATGACAGCACTTCCAAAAAGCACATTTCCACCGATTGGCAGGGAATTTTGATCTTGTAACTTTTTGTTGCCTCGTGCATAGGCGATGCGCAAATGATTGACGTAATTATCTTCACTGTGAGTGTTCGCAGGCTGCAGGAGTAGATCTAAAATATAAATTATGACTAAACCAAATGAACATTATATCGTTTAGATTTAACTCACAGGGAAATAGCCAGTCGCCGATGGGCATCCTAGCTCTTATTTCCACCCGTCCATATTTAAAGGTAAAAGAGCTATGCAGTTTTGCTGAATGCACAGGAGGTATTGATACACCTCCCTTTAGTTTTAGTGGTCCACATTGACGCATTACTTTATTTATGTCCCCATTATGTTTGCTTGTGCAACCTTCAGCAATTTTAAAATGAGTATCATTAACCCAATTTGCATATAAATGCAGAAGACCATTATTTAGGTTAGTATTCTTCATATAAGCCACAAATTCCTGATCGGGTACTGGGTCTAAGACTCGTGAGCGTATTTCATAGGTCCAACCGGAAAGACTCTGATCATCAAAATCTTCCTTAAATATAAGAACTTGACTGCAGGGTTGCTCTTCGAAATTCACTATCGTCTCAGATTTGACGCAATCGGATCTTTGTGGAAGGTCTTGCTTGACTCCTCTCCCAGACTCATCAATGATTAAATCGTATGTATTCGATATTATTTTATCTTTAGTTTCAAAAATCCCGAATATTCGTAGCGTATCGTCCTTCTGGAGTTCTTTGTTTGTATCTATCTTATAAACAAATGTACCATTCGCGTCATGTTTATGGACAAATGTATAGTCTGGAGTGCACTCCTCGCCAATGTCAGTTGAAAAGAAAAATGTTTTGAGTTCGGGATCATCTGCGAAAGTGCAAAGCGAGAAATAAATATTAAATAACATTTTGAACATCATTTATTTTAGCTTTTATATTTAATACCGTGTACGGTAATCTCGACTTCTTTGCCTTTAACTATCACTTCTATATCGTTTTTTTCACAGGCGCACACAAGTGCAAAAAAGCAACTCATTAGATACAGAAAACACGTAAATTGCATTTTACAAATAAAAAATATTATCAAGAGATGTGTCGAGTTATTGTTATTATTGGCTTTTTTTCTTTTTGCTGTTTAAATTGATCAGTAAACCACTCTTTGTAAGCGACGACTGGCAACTGTGACAGAAAGCATATAATGAAAGCAGAAGTAATATACTATAATATTTATATACCCACTATAATGGTACTCCGGGGTATATTGATACTAAACTCAGCGGAGTACACGTCATTCAGTTAAAAGGTAAAGCTCTTAAGACCGATCAGATTCAATTTTGATTTTCGCCCATACAACCTTCGACTATTATTTTCCGACCAGAAGATTGGATTGTGCACTAAGTGTGAAATAGTCAATAAAATGTTAACAAAGGTAATTGCTAATGTGTTTAAAGCTGATCAGATAGTCAACATAGTCGGGCTGCCGAGCGAAAAGTTGTTGGATCAAAATTAGCGCAGTGGGCTAAGCGTAGGTTGGCTTAGGATTGGAATTGTATCTTAAATTGATATAAGAAAACATGAATTATTTAATTAATGAAAACAGATTCTTTTAAGATTCAACATTTCTCAATTGAGATAAGTCAAATAAACGCAACTTAGCTTGAATCACACAAGAGAACTCGGAATTACTTGCATTTCCAAATTATTCATTTGACCTGGGCGACGCCGGGTAATGACTTATGGTATACTTTTAAATTAGATGGAAGCAATTCAAGTTTGTGCTAGGGCATTTTGTAGTCGCGTTCTCTCGACTAGAGCTTCCCTCTTTATCACCGAATAGTAATGCCAACATGCAAAAACAATAAGTCGACAGCAATAGACCTCATTCCCTCGGGTTATCGTTTTTCCCCCGTAAGAGACGCCGCATGTCCGTAGCATTGCGTTTGTGGATTGAGAGCCGCAGGTCTAGTCGACTACGGACGGTTGGACCGTCAAATAGAGTGATAACCTTATAATTAAAGTATATATGCATTTAAAATGAATATTAAAACATGTATATTTTTTATTGGATACATTGTTGGTTGCCTAGGCGCCAACGAGAACGAAAAATCAGATATAACGGTTAATGTAAATGGGAAATATGTTAACGTAACGCTTGGTATGTGCAAATGTTGTCACGAAAAATGATTGTTATTAATATTCCGTTCATTAAGAATTAATAAATAAATAAATTTAATATTTACAGATGATACCGAGGTTAAATCAATGTTCTTTTCAACAGAAATCAACGATGAATGCACATCAGACTATATATATGTTCATAGCGCCAATAACAGCAACACATTTAGTATAAGCCTTGAGAAGGAACCTAAAAAAAACGATATCATACGAATTTTCAGTGTCATTGAAACCAAAGATCACGTTATATCAAAAACGTATGATTTCAGGATTAATGCTGATGGGCATGGCACCAATGAGCAGAAATGCATACGAGAAGAGTCCGACTCAAACTCGAAAAGGGGCTGTAGCGGCCGTCTAATTTTTGAGGAAAACTTCAAGGACAACAAATTGACGCATTGGACTTATGCAGTATGCTCCCGGGTACATACAAATCATAAAGAATTTGCAGCCTTTCTGAAAAGTGATAATAACTGCTATATAGAAGATGAAAAATTGCATTTTAATGCCACTTTGACGAACTACAAGCTAGGCGATCTGTTTACACTACCCAGTTGTACTTATACGCACACGGATAGTAGAAATTTGCTGTGTGGACCGTATACATTCGCAATAAGTCAACCGCTACCACCCATGCACTCGGCAATACTATACAATAGGAAGTTGCGATTTGATTATGGTCGGATCGAGATACGTGCTAAAATGCCCATTGGCGATTGGCTCTTCCCCTGTAAGTACAAACAAAGTAAATATATAAAGTAATATAACTTTATTTTTGCATTGTGTGACATTTATATCTCCGACAAGCTTTTCCCGTCTGTCTTTCTGGCCGCACGCAAACTAATCGATCCGACTTTATGCTGCTGGTAGTGTATTTATTGTCAAAATGATTATTCAGGTTAGACAGCCTAAGGTAGCTCTACTTATTGGTTGTGTTTTATTCATAATTTTTCTGCGCTTTTGAAACTGATAATACTAATCTTGGAATGAATTAGAAAGTTTAGATATAAAGTTAACATCAACCACGCCCACCGCAGGACTAACAAATTTTGAAATAACTTTTCGCCCCTTTACTGCAATTGAGTTTCTTATAATTATAATGGTAAAATATAGGTCCTTTAATGTTTAAACCTTTTTACAAGCTAATATTACAAAGTGATCAGAGTATTGCAGGCTTCTTGCAGACTTCATTTTTAACTCCCTACTTCAACAGATTTAATACTATACCCCATCAAGAGCGATTTTGAATCGATTAATGTGTTTGAACCTCACATCCGCATGGCATATGTGCGAGGCAATCCACATCTGCACGATTATGCCCACCAAGATATTGGAGGAAATATGCTTTTTGGCAGCGTCTTCGGCCAGATAGGTGACGATTATCATGAGGCTACGGTGAATATGCCACACAAATCCGGATCACATTATGGGGACAATTTTCACGACTATACAATAATTCGACACAAGGATCGAATTATATTTAAAGTGGACGGAGTTACCTTTGGCACTATAAGAGATAAGAAGATAATCGAAAGCTTGAAAGGAACTGAGGTAAAAAGCGTTTACGAAAAGTTTACCATTAATAATTAATTATTTTACAGTACTATATCGTATTGGGTTTGACTGCTGGAGGGATATTAAACTTTAAAGAAGAATATGTAAATCTGGAAAAAAACTTCCTTGTGACACCTCAGGCTCCATCAATATTTTTAGAAAATATATCTATAGATCCATCAACATGGAAGCATCCCAAGCTGGTGATAGATCACGTCCGTGTTTATACAACACATCCCGATGAAAACTAAAATGCTTTTCCAACGTCAATGTTCTTTATTAAAGAGTTTTTTATTATTGAAAATATACTATACATATTTTTAAAGTATACCTAAACATATTATGCCGGCTTTTACGATCAGTTAGTGGGTACGGCTCTAGGCGTGCATTTTTAATATCACCCTTTGTTTTCGATCTATCCCTAATGCAGGCACATATAGTAATAGATTTTTGATTATTATTGTTATACATTTATGCATGCATACATATGTACACGTTCATTTAGAATTTATTTAATAGAATTTTTTGGTTTATACAACTCTCTTTTACCCTTTCTCTTGCGCTCTTCCAATGCGCAAAAACATTCATTTGTACGTACATGTCTAATGGTTTCGGAACCCTGCGAGGATTTTTGCGGCTTTTATAAACAAGCAAAAAAAAAAAAAAAACAAATGAAAACCAAAAACAAAGTTTTCTTCGGCTTGGCGCATTTTTCAACTGACACTTGTCACCCGACAATTGGGTCAGTTGGCCAAAGGTCTCACTCCCAAATACTAAATGACACCGCCAGAGCTACTGGATATGTATGTAGAGTTCGGCGCTGGGCTTAGGGCAGCTTCTGGTAGACCACTCCCGACTTACATTTTTATTTTAAAATAATTAAGAGAGTATATAACGTATAATAATTATAGATATGTCAGTTCTTATATGATCTTAAATTGCATAGACACGAACATAATCGACGAGCAATTTTGGCTGCTTCCAGGTTGGCAACCATTGCTCCTGGCTCCGCCAAAATTGAAGCTTCGCCTGTGGGTGTTTGTTAATCCAAGGCTTCTCAAAGCTCGAAGTGCGCAATTTGTCAACGAAGTCTCCGAAGCCGCCAACTGAGAGGCCCAGCGTGATGTAAAACTAAATTTGAAGATTAATTTGAATTTCGGCTTGGAATGTGTTCTGTGCAATAAGCAAATCAATGGTATTTTACCCTGAGCCCAAGGTAAGGATAAATTAATGTTGTGTAAATGTATGTAACAAGTAAATTTTAACATTTTCGTACCAATGAAGTGAATAATTTTTAGATTACAAAGTAGATCTAAAACCATTAAGCTACGCATGTCTCTTTTTAGCTGAGTGCTCCCAACTAACATATAGAAATTGCAATCCTCAACTTTACAAATTTCATCCCTCTTCCTGTTGTAGGCTGTACATATGTCGGAACCGGGCGAATCGGACCATTATCTGATGGAGACTCAGGATTATTATGAGGAGTTCAAGATAATATTAGAATGTAGGCTTTCATAAGCATTAAAGAAATCAAGATTCTGGTTATTCTTCTGCGTCGTCCGGCATGTTACATACAATTACAGAAACTCGGTATACCATCTTTTTGTCATATTTAAATAGGAACGATAAAATTGCTTCACATGGGCGTTTTTGCTGTTTGTTTTTATATACTTGCCATGCGATCAAAGGGCGCCATGGGTCCTCCCCGACGCCAGCTGGGGTTTAAGTCGGATTCCGCAAAGCCAGTCAACAGTTCACCGTATTCTTGACCATCGATTGAAAACCGCAAGCTTTGACTGCTCCATATCAGGCTATACACATGAAAGTCGTCGCCGAAATGAACGCTTCGCCGTTGTTGCACCATGAAATCCTCACGCTGAGACGCCTCCGTCGACAGCACTGCTCCAGCGAAAAGAGTGCGTCCATCGATTAGCTTACCGTGCGGTAGACGTAGCTGATCATTACCGCGGGCCATGGCCACCCGCAGCTGACCTATCACAAAGTTAACAATAAGGAAATTTATAGTTCAGAACAAGATGAGGCCATGAACGCACCAGATTCATAGCCAGTTTGGCCATATGACTCCATGAGGGGTTCGAGCAGCAATAGCGGTATGAGCCAATCGCCCTTGGGCAGTCTAGCGCGTATGTCGACGCGACCATACTTAAAGCCAAAGGATTCCTTTGTACTCAGCCGCGGCACCACCACTGGAGGCATAATAAGTGGTCCACTTGTTAGGAGCACGCACTCCTTTTGCCTGTTGTGTGTGCCTGTGCAGCGGTCGGACAAATCTAGATGGGCATTGATTATGTGCAAGTCGGGTCGATAGCTAGACCACAGCTTAGGCTCGATGATCAGTTGACCACCCTGCACGCGTGCCTTTCCATCGTAGAGCACAAACTCAGCATCAGTACTGTCAAGTGGTGCCCGAACATCGTGAAGCCAACGGCTCTCGTTCAGATTCTCAAATTCTTCCTCGAATATTAGTTGACCCTTGCAAAGCGGCTGGCTTGGGGGAGGTGACATCATCGTTTCGCTTTCCTCTGCGCAGGACAAGGACTTTGACGTTGACCCGTTATATACTGCATCATTTTTGACTGTTGTAGTCTCTCGATTCTGATGCTGATAAGGGCTCATCGAGCATTCCGCAGGCAAATTTTTGCCCGATAATTGACAAACCGGCTGCGGCAGACTCTTATCGCGATAGATTACATTGCCATGCTGCACATTGGTCCATATATAAAGCGTGTCATGTGCCCTCAATGCTGTTCGCTCAAAATCATGCTGCCAGCGTCCATCCTCTGGCTCGCGTACTTGGGCACTAAACTCACCCTCCTCAAAGTCCGTAAAATTGCGATTACGATTCACATTGAAAGCCACACTTTTTATGCCACGATCATCTTTAAATACAATTCGGCATGTCTGGATGTGAGTTTGTTGGAGCTAACTTTAATTTACCTGGTATGGACACACGAAAACCGTTAGCCAATGGCTCCACTAAGGCTGCGGGCAACTTATAGGAAAAAATGACGACAATCGAACGACAAAGCAAAAATAGCAGCAGCAGCTTTTCTGTGTGTAATCTTTTAGCTGCACGCATTATATTCAGCCCGATCTCTCTGACGCTTCGTTGGTAACTGAGGCAAACGTTCCCAGACCGGTTTCAGATTTAATAATTCGTTGTCGATGATGAGTCGCTGCTCTCTGGAACAATTTGTTTCCATTCAACAGCTTATCAAACCAATTCATTTAAAGGTCTTCAAAATGGTCGCTTCTCTTGTGACTCTTATACAGAATATAATTTGACAAAATATAGTTCCTTTTTATTGTATATTTAAAAACTCTGCAAGTTGCCTGATTGTAAATGTTAAAGCTAAGTTCTTAAATATTATAAGTTTATTTTGAATTTCAGCAAATGTACAATATCATAGCAGTAAGTTTAATATAATATTAACTCAAAATTCTTACATATTGTGTTCTTACTTAGGATTATTTACATCAATTCTTGATGCTTTGGCAGTCAATAAGCAATGATAGTTTCATAAAGCATCCCATCAATTCGCTGAACGACACTTGAGTGTCAAATCAATGAAAATTATAGAAACAAATATGTTAGTTACTTTACAATACAATAAATGATTATGTGATACATACATGTCCGGTTGTGTTAGCATTTTTCTTTGAAAAATAGTCCTTCCATTTGCAGGCTATCCTTTTCGATAGGTCGCCGGAGCCGACCGGATCGGACCACTATATTCTACAGACGTAATGGGAATGATCGGCCGAAATGAAGGTTCTCCAATGGAAAAACAATTTTTGTGTGCCAAAATATCTTTACTAAGCTCGACATCTATTATTTTCAGTATCCTCTTAACATATGAGCAAAATATATTTTAATGGGACGACTTATTATATAGCTGCCATTTTTACATATCCTTACATATATTCAAAACCGCAAGCCGTAAGTCTAGAAAGTTATTAAATCTTTAGTAAGCCAAATGTAGCCCCTCTTGCTTTTTTCAATGCATTCGTTCGCTCCGTTCTCTCGTATAAATAATATTACAAGATTTGTTTTACAGGTTTACTAGCTTACAATCGGCAAGGAAAGCTTTACGTTTAGTAACTAAAAAGCTTTTTCAGCTGTTAAGCTTACACCAAATGCAATTTGACGGGTTTGCAACAGTTGAGGCGCCAAGTTTCCCAGAACGATACGTATATAAAATATCGTGTAATATTTGCATAATAAATAAAAGTGCGTCATGATCTGCCAACTTTTTCTAAGCTTCTCCTTTGCGTGGCTTCTTTTGAAATGCCGAGAAAACTTGGCATATGAAATACCTAACGTGGACATGGAAATGTTGAACAAAAGCGGGTTTGAGGTTTCCATACCTGGTATGTGGTGCGACTAACTTCAAGGTCAACATTGTGATGAGAATGATTTTAGATGAGCCAGGCATGCAACGCGTTTTTTATATGCTGCAAGTGGATGGCAGATGTCCGGCTCTAATGGACTACATAACGCAAGCCACCAATGGGAGCTGGACTAGCAAACAAAGTATTGGCCTGCAAAACAACGATAAACTACAAATCTCTATATTGGTGCAATACAATGATTTAATATATGAGAAGAGCGAGACGCGGGTAATACTTAACACTCGCCTGCTTACCACACAACAAAGCATCTCGCGGAACATCAGCAATCGCACCAGCGCGGAAGAGTGCCAGGTAAATCTCAGCTCAGAAAAACCGCGAAAGCATTGCAAGCCAGCTAGCAGCATTGTGAGTAGTAGTCAAGGCACCTGTCAGGGCGAGCTGCTCTTTGAGGACAACTTTAGTGGCGCACAGCTGAATCGCAGCGTTTGGATGCATGACATACGTCAGCGCATGTACCATGAGGAAGAGGAGCTGGTGGCATTTGATGACTCGCCGCGCTATTCGTATGTGCGGAAGGGACAGCTACATATTGTGCCAATGGTAGCCAGCGAAGTGACAGAGGGCGCCTACCAGCTAGGCGATCGCTGTACAGCTGTTGACAGTCCGGAGCTCGAGTGCAGCATTGCCAAGGGTAGCTTCTACAAAATCAAGCCTCCTGTATATTCGGCTCAACTACATACACGCCAGAGCTTTAGCTTTAAATATGGCAAAATTGTGGTACGTGCCAAGCTGCCAAAAGGCGATTGGTTGTTTCCATGTAAGTGGTTTGGCTTAAACAAGGAAGCACAAGGCTTATTACCTTATTAACAATCCACAGATGTGATGCTCCAACCAGTCTCGACACATGCGGAAACCCATTATGCCAATCAACTTCGTAAGTAACGGAATTCTTCACATAACTAGTTCTTAATACCTTATTATATAGTATTGTAAGTGCTCCAGTTCCACCTTATTTTGCGTATTTATCGATAGCCCGCGAATTCATTTTCAAATACTACCGTTTTCGCAGAAACTGGAGTACTGCTGATAAAATTGATATGAAGAATTTTATATAGGCACAGCTTACATTTATATACTTCCCATTTTGTGATTCCACTAGCCCTGTACTTTATCGTTGACATGTGAGGATAAATTAAACAAAACTCTTGCATTAAATAAAACTCTCTTCGGATTGTTGCACAAATTCATCTACCACAAGTTGAATTTGTCCTCATAGTAGGGGCCTAGTTTAATTGACCATTTTTGAGACTCTTAAAAAATCTACAATGATTATAATTTCCAATTGCATTTCAAAATTAGCGCTTGCATTTTCTATCCGCTTTTTATATTTTTCATAATGTCTACAAGTAAACTATCATTAAAAAGAGAACGTAAGAAATTTTAATCAGGCTCCCACATTATTACTTAACGAACTAATTGAATTACAGCGTGCAGTAATAGGTACTTATGTCAAGTATTAGGGGAATACAGGGCATAAGATAATGGCTTTTTATTTTAAAACAAAAAGTGTAATTGATAAATGAAATCAATTCCAGGCATTGCTTATGCTCGTGGTAATGCTCACTTGCGCAGCACTAAGCAGGAAGACATATCGGGCAATCGCTTATATGGTGGCATGATCGTTTGGCAAAAACAGCGAGCGATACAAATTATTAAGGAACGATTGAATGCAAAGCACTATGGTGATGACTTCCACAATTACACAATGATCTGGCAACGGGACAAGTTAACACTTATGGTGGACGATGAGATTTACGGAGAGATCTACGATGGCTTGCCATTTTTTAATGAGAAGTGTTTTATAATTCTTGGCGTTACAGTGGGCGGATTTCTCAATTTCGATGATAATATTTTAATGAACGATGTAAAGCCATACAAGAATCAACAGCCCCGCGCCGCCCTTTCGTTTTGGCAAAGTCGTCATACCTGGGCTTCTACTTGGGGGAAAAGTAGAGCGATGATTATCGATTATGTGCGTGTTTATGCCGATTAGACGCCGTACATTTATTAACACATCGTTAAATAGTTTAAATGAATGTATTTGTGTACATGTGTGTTATTGTGGATCATATATGTGGCTTATTAATTTATTTTAATTTAAATTGTTAAGAACATAACTGTGGGCTCTTTAATGAAGTTCGGAAATATTCAATCTAAAATTTATAATTAAAAATGATTTTCCAGAGAAAAATTTGTTGCCAGTTTTGCAAGTTATCTGGCAATCTCACAAATTTTTAATATAAATATAATATATAATATAAATATATCATAATAATATAAATATTCATTTAAAGCTGATTCATATTTGTTTTTATGGGTGGATTTTTAAAAATAGCTGAACTTGTACATGGTAATCTTTAAATATAAGATTGAGATCGATCGCACAAAATTTGAAACCAATGTGAACTAGTTCCAGTACCTACTGGTTCCATAAACTAAACCCAAATAAATCGTAGTGTTTATTGCATCCCTGCATTTTATCGCTGATTCCGTCTATGTCGATGTTTTGTTAAAGAATGTCCGTGCTTTGCTCTGTACGGCTGCCCATTAATTTGTTAATACGGTGAATATAATATATAAGTGTGATTTAAAACGATTACACTACATAACTATGAATGTTAGGCACAAGAGAATGCAACAATGTAAACAAAAACCTTTGATTGGTGTATTTGTGTTTGTGTCGTCTGCGTGTACAGCGAAACTAAGGCAGAAGCAAAGGAATTTTTTTATTCGCTTATAACCAACGAGAGTAAATGTTTTTCTTGCTTTCAGCGCATAGATTGAAGATACTTACTTAGCTTAAGCCAAAAGTTGATACTTTCACATCAGCAGGACATGGATATACTGGACATCGACGAAGCATTAAAGGATGATTCATACATGTATGTAGTAACATTTCCAATTGCTTTTGCCTTTGGTTCATATGCTAAAAATACTTAAGGCATGTTTCCTTTGAAATGACAGTTTTCTGGCAGATAAAACGCACGATGATATCTCAAACATTCTTCAGCAGTGGAAAACAAATAATCAACAGCAGTCGCAGATGCAGCCGCAACTGCATTCGCAGCCAAACAATGAACAAGGTAGGTACATGGATCATACATGTATGTATGTATGTCAGTCATAGGTCATATAAACACAGGCACATAAATGCAGACAGACCATGTTTTGCCTTTAGAGCTTTATAAAACACATTCACAAGTGGGTTAAATAGACGGCAACAACGTTGATTTCTTTTCTGGTGAGTGTAGGCGGGCAAGCCGCTTACTGACCCGTACCCTTGGGTACTACTTGTTTGTTTTACCCATATTTGGCCAATGCTATTGTAGACAGGAATTAGTGCACGTTAATATCTACATTAACTAATTAAACAGTTATGCGTGGATTTTTATGGCCATGATTTTAATTGATTATTCGGCCGACAAGAAACAATATAAATATATTGTGCATATTAAACAATTAAACATACAGTTTTGCCAATTCATTCAATAATTTATAATCTGAAAACTGTGTTTCAATGGAAATTGACAAAAATTGGAGTATCCCTAAACAGCCGCCTATTTAAAGGCATGTCGAACTATGTTAACTCTCACAAAAAAGTTTATTTTTAGTATAGGTCATGTACATTCAATTTTTGATTGGCACTTAACATTTTCCGTTTTGTAAATTTTTTGCATTATGCGAAAAGTGTGAATGGCATTTGCTAGTTTAATAGCAATTTTTAAAGGCGCGCAGTTAGCCAACACTGTTTAGATGTCAACGTCGTGTAACTGTAAAATTCTGCATATGGCGAAAGAGTAGCATTTGTAGTTAAATATCGGAGTTCTCAAAATGAGTGTTTTCCAAAAGTTAAAGGAAAACGCCATTAGAAATGGTCGTCGAATCAACATGAAGACTCGAACACCAGTTAATCTATTAAAAGCTAGCAACAGAAACCTCGGAAGCAGCAAATTCAAGGAATACGTTGGCGTATGGATTGGCGATTTAACTCCCGTTCATTTGTGCAATGTGCTAGATAAATACGTGCAAGAGCACGATGCAACATCCAAAATGATAAATGTCACTGGCTGGTTTACAGTGACTATATCCAATTGCATGGAATTGCCAGATAGCTCCATTATGCTGGCTTTGAAATACGCCATGATGCCACTTAAAGTGCAGCTGTATAATTTCAAACGCAGCCACGACGGTGACTGTGGCCAATTCCTTGTAGATAATGTCCTGATGGCCAATCGTTTGAAGCGACTCAGCGGCAAAGTCTCTGTGCTGTACAGTAGCCAAATTATCAATATAATTGTGGAACAGGGTATGCCTTCAGATATGTTAACGACGTCGCAATTTACGCCCGAACTACTAGTCGCCATTAGGACGGCGCTTTTTGCCTGTTATGAAGCTGATAGTGAGACTCTGAATCTGTCTCGTTTTCATGCCGTCGCTGAGCTCGAGGGTCACTTTTGTGCGCTGCATGTCTTGCCAATGCTGCAGCGAGTGCTGCTTATGATATCCCAACAGTTTCCGCTGTTGCGGATTCTTCAATTACGCGACAATTTTTTGTGTACACTGCGCGCCTTTAATGGGTTTTCACGTGCTAATATGCCTGCGCTTCAAATGCTGGATGTAAGCGCTAATCAAATTCAGGGCTTAATGGAGCTTAAAAATTTACAAAACCTGGATTTGCAGACTTTGAAGATTGCAGACAATCCGCTAGCCAAATACCAGCCGTGGCAGCTGAACGCAATGTTGCCACAAGGGGTACACATCTGTGGCTACAGCCAAAAACTTCAATCTCAAGAATTGATAAGAGCGCCATCCCCATCAGCAGAAGGTGCTGGTGAAGGTTTCGCATTTTGCGCTGGGTTCGCCAAGCTCTACTATAACATATTTGATGAGATTAGCCGTCGTCCGGAACTAGACATTTATTATGATGCCAAGGCCCTGTTCTCGTTTTCCGCGGCTAGGGAGCTGACGCAGTCATTGCAGTGCAACAGCTGTTATAGACTGTTCAATCGAAATCACCTGCACTTGCGGTCATCATTTGCGCGCTGTGGCAAATTACGTTTCGGCGTAAAGAATGTGGTCCAAACAATTTGCAAACTTCCCGAGATGCAGACAAGCATCGAGGAAGCGCGGCTGGAGGTACACATTTACAACAATACATTGCGCGCCTTTACATTAACCGGTAGCTGCAGTGAGCTGACAACCAACAACGACTGGCAAAGGCGTATATATTCGCGAAGTTTTGTAATGCGCCCAGATGTGCCGCCAAGATGGGTTATTACCAACGATATGCTGAACATCACATTGGCTGCCAAACAAGAAGTCAGGTGCAAGCAGATCTTGATAGCTCCCCAGCCCATAGCAGCTCCATTAGCCAGCCAACATAGGCGAGGACATGACAAGTCCAGCAACATTGATGACCAATTAGAAGAAATTAGCAATGGCATGCCAAAACTGGCTATCGAGCCCAATAAATCATTTAAACCTAAAGCTGTGCTGCCGAGTTTTGAAGATATGCCGCAGTTGGCGACGCAGGCTTCCGTTGATGCGAACGGTAAGCTAGAGCGGGAAGTCGATGATACGCTCTTGTGCTCCGACGATGAAATGTTGCTGTTCATCAACGAGGATGTGCTTTTGGATATCGGCGACTTTTAAATCTTTGATACAAATGCATAATTTTCAAGAATTACTACACTCACATACACACCCAGCACAACCATTTTTTTTTTATGAATTAATCAGTTAAAACTAATATATATGTTATATATATTATATGTCAAGCATACAAACTTAATTCGAAGACGTTTACGAGACCCAAACGCAGATCACAGGCGGCGGCAAATCTGGAGACACAATTCGTAAGTCGAACTTCATTTTAAATATATATTGTTAGAAAGAAAGAAAGAATTATCTTCGGAGTACCGAAGGGGAGATATTAACTACAGACGAGCCATATCCGATAAGTATATAGAGCATTAATTATTCTAACTTTAACATCTGTCTTTTGTTTTGCTAAACTGATTTTTAATGTATAAGCCATAATATACTAAAGATTGTAATTTATAAATATCTCAAAAGTTAGAGAATATTGAGTTTCGTAGTTGCAAATGTTCGATTGAAAGTCAGCTGCATAATTAAATGTATTCGATTTTATTATTTGTTGCATAATCAGTAATTTATATTAGTTTGATTTGTGAGAATTACCAAAAAGTTTGAAAGCATAGCAAATTCTGTAATGGAACATAGCTGCAGTCGGCAGCTAATATTAAGATAATTCGATTGGAGGTCAGCTGCAGATGGGATGCTTCAGAGATTAAGTAACTGCTGGCTTCTATATTCTATGCTTGCCATAATCTGTTGCTAGGTAGTGGCCTGTGCGTGTTCTAGTCTGCAGAGCAATCTGCTCCTTATCTTGTACTCGAATCATAGGAACTTGAAATAGTTTTTCCCAAATCTATATATTATGAGGGTCCCCTGCATCTTTTTATACCCTAGCAGAGGGTATTATAATTTTGTCGTGAAATGTGTAACGCATAGAAGAAGACATCTCCGACCCCATAAAGTATACATATTCTTGATCAGCATCAACAGCCGAGTCGATAGAGCCGTGTCCGTCTGTCTGTTTCTATGCAAACTAGTCTCTCAGTTTTAAAGCTATCTTAATGACTTTTTGCAGAAGTCACTATTTCTGTTCCACGCAGCACATATGTGAAAACCATCTGGATCGGACCACTATATCATATAGCTGCAATAGGAACGATCGGTCGAAAATTAAGTTTTTGTATGAAACATTTTGTTTTTCATGATATCTTGACCAAACTCGACATTTATTAGCTTTTCTATGCTCCTCATATATATGCAAAATCCTATTAAGATCGGACCAATATATCTTATAGCTGGCATAGGAACGATCGGTCGAAAATTAAGTTGTATGAAAAAAGCATTTTGTTTATCAAGATATCTTGCCCAAACTCGGCATTAACTATTTTTCCTGTGCTTCTTAGATACGGGTATTAGATCTTCGGCGTGCCGAAGATAGCCTTTCTTTCTCGTTTAAACTCAGACTCTTTAGTTGCTCTCGGATTGAAAATTCTTGAAAATCGTTTGGTCTGCTTGGGAGCAAGAATATGAAATGTCCTTCTAAAGCAGTCATAGCTGATGGCAATGCAGTCGACTTTAGTCCACGATACGCTCTCATGGCATCATCTGGCTCATAAATGGGAATTTAATATGAAGAACCAGCGGGGTTGTCCTCAAATAGATTCTAACTTTGAAGATGAAGTAAAATCAGGACGGTTTGATGACATCATCAAATATGGCAATCCACACATCAGATTTTCTTTTTCTTTGTCTGATATAACGGACAACTTCCTTAATGATGTTTTGTGATCTGAAATTACAGATGATTTTCCAACTATGAATTTAAATTAATTTTAATCAATTTATATTTTCCGTTGATATTAATACAAAGAATAATATATTTAAGCAATAGTTCCATTTAAGAATGAAAAAATCTCTTAACAGATTTTCATTATTTTTATTTCAAAGTCTACTCGGTCTTCACTTGATTCAGCTGATAGCAAAACGCGGAAATTAAATTTACATTTCTATAGCTGGTGTCACCAAATTTGTAATGCAAACTTCTGTTACCCTGCTCTTGACTCTTTGAGTCACCATCCTTATAATGAAAACAGTCTTTTTCGCTAATTTATTTGTTAATGCACTACACAGTATTGTTCGTTACGTTAAGCCTGGGTGCAATCTTCTTGCCAGTTATGTAATAATATAAGAATTTTAAAAATGATCATTCAGCATTTTAATATAGTTAAAGTAATACAGTTTAAGAGGCGGAGAAGGCTATATCGACTAAGGTTGTCGGCCTAATTGAGAATACATGTCTGGTTGGAGATTCTGTCTCCAATGTGTTACGAATTTCGTTAGTTCCGTTAAAGTATATAAAGTGGCTTATGAAACGAAACGTTTTCTTTATTTTTTTTTTGCAGACGCATGTATCCCAAACAGAAAATAATACATCGCCCACGACAAATTCAGGATCGCTGATGCTTAGTCTAGAAATTGGAGGACTTGTAACCAACATGCATAAATCCTTTCTGCAGGACACTTCTCCACCATCGTCTATCTGTACATCTATAAGCAACGGATGCATGAATAGTTCACTTATCAGCTCCGCTGACTTTACAAATCTCAACTTTCTGCAATCGATCAACAGTCTGGAACCAACGGAGTCGGATCCAGCAGATCATAATCTGACAACGACGGCAACGCTGATCAATGAGGGGGGCTACACGCTGAGCGACATGATAAGGGACCGCAAAGCTCTCGAATCGCTGAGCATGTCTGGAGATGGCACGTTAATTAAGGATTCGCATATTGGCCAGATCGATGACATATCATTGACGACGCTAAGCAAAACTGCTTCTGGTTGCAGCACAATGGATAACAGTACTGACAGCGTGTCCATGCCAAATGAAATCCAGGTGCCAGCACAAGCACATACACATGCCCAATCGCAGTTGTGCACAACTATGGTGTTGAGTGAGGAGATGATTGGCGATACCACATTCAGTCTGGTAGACAGCTTAACATCACGTACAACTACAGAATCTATGTGTGAGGGGGAGACAACTTCCACGTTTAAACGACCAACGGCCATAAACACTACAGTGTTAAATGAAACACAGCTCCTTGCGGGGCGACAGATTAACAGCACCTTCACGGAAAACTGTCATACGCCCGAGGCAGCCCGCTGTGATACACCTGAGAATCTTGAAAACAAATTGTCTTCTGTCCAGATGCAATCTACACCCCTGACCACAGCAAGTGGCCGTTCTCAATACAATAGCAACAATAATAATAATAATAATAAGCCGCTAAGCTATACGCCTACACTAAAAGGCCGTGACGAAGTAATAAACATATCTCCGATTGTGGGCAGCACTACGCCTCACAAAAGCCGACAACAGCTCAACCATACCTATGAACCACCAACAGCAATATTAAAGGATCTTCAGCTTGAGGTGGCGCCTGACGGTTTTAACAGCCAACAGTTTGTGGCAAATACAATGCAGTTGCTCGAGCAAATCGAACAGCCTACCTTAGATGCAACCTACAACAAGTCGGAAGAGCATAGGCAAATGCAGTGCGTCATGGATCTGGCCGAGGCTGAGGTGGAGCTGCTCGCTCAACAGGGTGATGAAGAGCAATTTGAGCATATGCTGGCTGAGCTTGGAAAAGTAAATGCTCTTAATGCAGAGCAGCTGAAAATGCAAAAATCACTGGACAGTATAAAGCGTCGTTTTCATAAAGATGAGGAGCCTTACATTCAGCCGGAGCAGCAGCAGCAGCAGATAGTGGATCTTCAGCATGTTACACCCCCATCCGCGCAGTCACAATTAACAAGCAGTCATAGTCAATCTTCCAGCAGCAGTGAGCGACTGCTCAGCCGACGTAGTCGCCTCTATGACGATGTCAATTTGAGCGCAATGCATAACAGCGATACCAGCAACGCCAGTTGTAATTCTACTTCGTTCATTGTTCATCGACGCGAAGAGGAGCCAGCCAAGAAAGCCGAGGTTTACACCCCACTACATGAGACTGACAAGCAGGAAGCGGACATGGAAGGGGAAAAACAGGAGGCTTCCAGCTATAAGGTCACAGGGCGACGTAATAGAGATCGAGAACGGTTCAAAACTATCAAAATAACTAAAGAAATGCGCGCACGCGACGAGGAGCTGGGAAACATTGTTGTGCCTTGTATTGATGATGAAGAGCCGCAGAATGAGCCATTGGATACAGTAAAATCTGAGAATCGACAGGAGTCATTTCATGGACGTCTTTCACGACTCGATCAGACATCTCTCAGCAACATAAACGATGTGGGCAACAATACCGTCTCCGGCAGCAATTACTTGACTTACAAGAAGCCAAAGGAGAAATCGTTGCTGATGCATCAACAGCAGCAGCAGCAGCCCCAATCATCATTAGCCGAATCGGGCCAGAATGCACGGCCACAGCCGCGTTCGCTATCTCGACCGCGCTACATCAGCGGCTTGCAAAAGCTCAGTACTGTGAGCAAAGCAACTTCCGCTGGCGCTGGTCTGAACGCAACAACATTAGCAAACTCAAAAGCAACGACGGAATCTGTGCCAAAAGCTAGTGACTTTGAAGGGCTAAAAAGTCCAATGGGCATTAAGTCGAAGTCATTTCACAATTTGTCCTCCAACATTAGCGGGTTTGTGAGTGCTGGCGGTACTGTAGATGCGTTGGCGCCTCGACCTAGTTTGGGTGGCGCCTTGAGACGACCCAGCGTCCAAGTAAGCAAGCTGACAAATCTGTTTCGAGCAACCCAACAGCATGAGGTATGTAAAAAAGAAACAATAAATTTCAAAAAAAATAAACACAGAATTCATTCAGCAGGATGGAACTTCCGTATTCAAAGTGCCCAAGTTAGTCAGCGGATTGCGTGCACCGACGAATGCGGGTGTAAAGCGAACTGTGGGCAATGGACTCGCCCGTCCTTCGTCCGGATATTATAGTCTGAGCGTGAAAGCAGCTGGGGAATCTGAAACACCCGAGGTGATTTGTCAATTAAAATCAACATGTCTCTCAATATTAATATATCATTGGTTACAGAGCCTGTCTTCTGCATCGTCTCGTGGCAGCCTGTATGGCAAGGACACGAAACCAAACGACCCATTTGATACACAGGCGCTTAGCTTGAAGCTCACACAGGTGACAACCGGTGCAACGGGCATCCCGAAGCCATCGGGTCTGCGGCAACCGACACAAATGAAACGCAGTGGATTGCCGCGACCATCAAGCATACTAAGGCGTTGACCCACATGAAAAATACAACGACCACTCGACCAGAAGACTAATATAGAAGATATGACCATAGAAAACAGAAAAGTGCTTCGTTTATTCAATTTTGTTTTCTTTACTCGCTTTGTTATGTGCGTTACTTATTTCAAACTCCCTCTCTAAGAAGAATTTGTTGCCGTACTGTCCATTCGTTTTCAGATTTAGCATTTATTTTATGCATTCATTAGTTGAAAGCATTTCCATTTAGTTGAAAGCAACCTCGACTTATGTAAACGCGCCAATACCGAATAAAAAACACACACTATGCCTTAACGAAAAACGGAGATAACTCCATGTGAATCGTATAGTAATGAAACGAAAACTATTGCTGTATATTTTTGTAAAACACGCAAAAATAATTATATTAACGTTAATTGTTGTAGTTGAGCGCTGCAAATAAGGAAATCGAATAAAAAAATTATCTATATATATAAATAAACTTATCATTAATTGAACCGTATCCCTATCCCTGCTCAGTGGCTAGACCACAAAAACAAACAACAAAAATGTAATATCTACATGATAAGCCTATTAACTATAATAAAACCTGTTACCAGTCTAAATACATTATAAAACTTACATTATGTAAACAGCATATATGAAGGGATCAAATATCCGACCATTTAATTTTATATTGTTTTTGGATCGATCGTATAGGTAACAAACCATCTTTTGATTGCTGGTAGCCGCTAGCAATATCCTCGCAGGCCTGTAAAAGATACTCTTTGATACATATAAGTTTATCGATCGTTACAAGGCTCTAGATACCTTAAAAAAATGGTGATATGAGAATGAAATGATTTGAATCTAACCAAGTCCGGCATATTCAAGCTTTTAAACCAGAAGCTGAACTTAAGGACTGGTTTGAGGAGGAAATATCGATATAGCATGTATGCAAAGATACTTTGAAGATAATATAATTTTTTCCGTTTTCACTTACAGCTTTGCCTTCCTTCATATTTATCATTGTTGGGGGTGCTTAGCACCCTTTTTGAGAGAGCTTGAGTCAAAATTGAGTTTGAGGTGAGTCAGAAATTATGCGTAGGATTGTGCTCCGATGGGAATATTAAAAGGGCGTGATTTTTAGGGTGAATTGCTTATGGCTAACAAATGAGGACAGTTTAATCGTAACCAATATGTCAGTATAGATATAGATGATAACAATATGATTTTAGTGTCCCATTGAGTGTAAACTAAATGTTAATCTGCTCACTTTTAGTGTTTGTTGTTGGTTTTTAAGATCAACATTCACCTTGAAGCATCCAGCTCGAAATTCCTCAATATAATTATGATAATCCCTTCGTTAATTTCGCATTGCCTATTGATATTTTTATAAAATCTTCTTCTTTTTTTTTTTTAAATACATTTATTTGAAGCGCTTTTGTGTTATTTGAAACATTATTTTGTTACTGTGCTATACATATAACCACTTACGCTGACAAAAGTTTCTAAGCAAGAGTAACAGAAGATAAGCTGTAAATAAAAGAATTTTAACAAAAAAAAAATAAATAAAACCTATTCAATATATTTTTGTTTGTGTTTAATTACAATATTCGAAGATTTTTAAACTAATTTAAAAAATAAAATGTGTTCCTAAACAAATTAACTTTACTATTATAATTTTGAAGCGTTGATATTATGAGAAGCAAGTGTATTAGGTACTTGATATACTCTTCATAAAGTCATGTCCACATCCTATTCCCGAGTGTTGACGTAGAAGTTGGCGTAGAAAAGAAACGAAAGAAAGAAAGACAAACTTTCTGTCTAAGGTGGAATTGCATAAGCCGCTAAGTCCGCACCGCATGGTTTTAAGCCTTTTAAGGCCTTGACTGTCAACGGATTAGATAATCCGAGGCATTGAAGATCGCCAAAGTGACTTCTAAATTATTGTAAAATATCTTTGTCAAAATTCAATTCAGACGATTTTCACGATATCAATCGCTATAGGATAGAAAATGCGGGTGAAAGGTTCAATAAACGATGGTTTCTTTTTCGGGTTCGAGATTCTCACCATAAGCAAACGGGCAAAAACCGTATATTCCAACATTTGGATCTGTATTCGATAGACCTTAAACAAATTTCAAATAGGATTGTTAGCACAAGAGATTTCACGGGGAAGCCGGATAATATCCACTAGCATCTTTATTATTACATCTATAGTTCGATTAAATCGACCCTATTTTATGTTCGAGACCTAAACTAAACAATTACCAAACATGATTTATGTATTCGATATATTTATTATTTTTTGTATGATCAGTAATTTATGTTAGTTTGATTTATGTACACAGGGTATTTATGGGAATCAACAGAAAGTATAAAAGCATAAAAAATTCTGTAATGGAAAGACAAAGCTGCAATCGGCAGCTAATTTGTAAGTTGAGATACATAGTAAATATTTGCTTTGCATTTTTAAATACCGAGAATTTAGCAGAAAATGCGACAACAGGAATGTTGTGGTTAATGTTGCAGTTTTTGTTGTTCTGGCTTTTGTTGTTGCTTAGAAGGATCATGCTGAAGCACCTGGTCCTTAGATTGCTGTTGCTGTTGCTGAACTGGTAGCTGTTGGTTTTGCTGAGGCGAAGGCGACTGATTGTTGATTTGCTGATGCGCTTGTTGCTGAGCGGGCTGCTGTTGTTGTGGCGCAGGCACTTGCCCTGGTTGGACAGCCGGTTGCACAGGCTGATGCACAGGCTGATATACAGGCTGCTGTTGCTGTTGCGCAGGCACTTGCCCTGGTTGGACAGCCGGTTGCACTGGCTGATATACAGGCTGCTGTTGTGAAGGTTGCTGTTGGCTAGGTTGCTGATAGATTAGCGGCTGCTGTTGCTGCTGATACGCTGGCTGGTGTTCTGGTATCTGTCCAGCATGCTGATACACTTGATCGGGATTTAATTGAACGGGCTGTGGTTGTCCATACTGCTGCTGTTGGTATTGTTGGCCATGATTCTGTTGCTGTTGGGCATATTGTTGTTGCTGATGTTCATACTGTTGCTGCTGCTGCGCGTGCAACTGATTTGGTTGCTGGTAATGTAATTGAGCACCTTGAGATGGCGCGTGATAGGTTACACCACTTGGTGGTGGCACTGCGTAATAGCCTTGAGGCATATTGGGATGTGGGGGAAGTTGACCTTGAGCAATCATGCGCTGTACTTCCTGCTGACGTCGTCGTTCAAACTCCAAATACTCCTCATGTGAAAACTGCGGTTGTTGATCAATCGTTTCCCACTCGGGATCCTTTTGAAACTCCTCTTTTGCGGTTTGCTGCATGAACTCATCTATACTGATAAGGCCATCATGATTAGTGTCCGTTTCCTAGTTTTTAGATATATATTAACATGCTTTTTAAAACGCTATACATTTTTTAAAATATATAAAATATAAGCCTACCTGAAAGTAATGTTCCCGCATGCGCTCCATTTCTTCGGCCCGCTCGCGCATATCATCCTCGGGCAAATTGCTTTGGTAGACTTTGTCTAGCTCCTTTACAAAAAGTGCCTTTACCTCGGCCTCGTCCCAAAAGCCGTTGCTATCAACGTCATGAATTGAGAAAAATGTTTTTGGATTAAAATCGTCTCTGTCCATGTGATCTTGTTTCTCCCAGACTTCTTCCAGTTGGGCTTTGTTGCCTGGATGATGCACTTTCTCGTGTTGTTTGTGTTTTTGTTCCTTTTCCTTTAATTCTTCTTCGAATTTCTTGCGAGACGCCTCATCCATTTCTTTTTTTTGGGCCTCCCGCTCAAATTCCTTTTGCATTTCATATTCTTTGAACTCGCCGCGTCGCTTTCGATCCGCTTCAGCCAAATCGTCAGACGTTTTTTGTATCAGTTTTCGCAAGTCTTCGATTTCGAAAGTATGCTCATTGCCATGATCCAAATGCTGTGGTACTTTCAAATGTTTGCGGTCAATGTCATTGCTAAGCTCAAACTCTTGGTTGGCCAATTCACGCAAACGCTCCAACTCCCGTCGTTTTATCTCGTCTAGCTTTGTGCGTACATGATGATTCACATAGTCCAGTTCTTGTGCAATTTTTCCACTCTAGATAATATGAAATTATTTCATAGTGAGGGTAATTACACAAACAGCTGTCATTCACAACAAAACTTACACGTATATCGGCCTCAGGTGCTTTGTCCAGCTTCTTTCTAAATTCTGGATCGGCTTCGAGTGCCTCTACCACCTCGCGCAAATAGCGCTCATATTCCAGCGCAGCCTCTACGTCCGCCGGGCCTGGTGTACTGCTTGGATCCTTGCCCTTATCCTCCTTCTTGTTCTGCGTGACAGGCAAAGCTACAACTAAAGATGCAGCTAGAGCAAGCGCCAGCACGACTTCTGCCAGGGTACGTTTCATAATTACACGTGCTGCAAGTCACTACTTCTAAATGTTTTTCAATGAAGAAAAACAATTGTGTAAATAACTTTACAAAATAAGTGTATTCTGACGTGTCTGTCTCGAATGATCCGTGCCTTGGTATTGTTTTGTCACTGGGTGTTGCCAGATGGCTTTACTAGTTTATGTTTCTAATAACACTGCATACAAAAATATCGATAAAACTCAAAAGGTGTCTTCACTATTAAACATCCACTTTTACATCCAAACAGCTGTTGAAAGAAAATTTAAAATGAATTATATGAAAGTTTTGCTATTTAACGAATGAAATTGATATTGATCACTTACAACTAATAATATTCTTATTTATTCTTATTATTTTTTATTTATTATTAATATTATTATTATCATTATTAAACCTTTGTAGATAGTATTATAATTTTATCATGAAATTGTGTTACACATAGAAGGAGACATCTCCGACCCAATAAAGTATATATTTTTGAACAGCAACAACAGCCGTTAATATACCCATGGTCGTTTGTCCATCTGTCTGCTTCGATGCGTTCATATCTAAGGTTTTGGGCTATCGTCATGAAACTTTGAATAGGTCCGTCTTTTGATGCACAACACAACATATAGACATACATATGTTGTATGGTTAGTGTCTATATACAGTCGGTAAGTGATATGTCGAGATAAACGTCTTCATTTTTTTATATATACAAGTAACTTAAATTATTTTTTTGCCGCTTACTGCTGTATAAAATTGTTTAACACTAAATCCGAACAGTGCTTCTTTTCCCATTGGAAGAAGTAGTTTGATGGACCTTCTGAATGAACAACATGAGGTGTGTTTACTTTTAATTATTTCCTCAAAAACTGTCTGATCAACTTGCTTAGAATAAATGCCAAAGGCTTCCTAAAATATGTATCTTCAAATTGGTATAGCGTGTAATTGTGGATATTATCCATTAGAAAATATATTAGGCTTCAAGAGCAGTCCTAATTTTTTACGGTCATTTTGGATGGGGCTAGCAACGAGTTTGCTGCTAAAAGAATATATTTACAAATTAGAGTATATTTAGCGCTATTATTCCTGAGATAAGATAAAGGATAACTTTTTTACGGTAATTTATTATTTCAAGATATCTGAAGAACGTATTTTTCGTTTTGGATCAAACTTTCTAGAATAAGTGTAAATAATGTTTTTGGAACCAATGCCTCCGTATAAGAAAAATAAAAGAATGGAGAATATTTAATTTTTTAGTTCATTGACCGTTAAATTAAATCAACGATAAGTGTCCGATGTTAATTTGACGCACATCATTTGTGCTGCCCTGGTTGGAACAATTGTCCAAATAGAACCAGCTCAATTTAATGAGCAACTGTTTTTTGTTTATTTCTAATGAAGAACAGTCCTGTGCTATCAGCTGATAAAAATAATAGACAAATATTTAAAATTTCAAATGATGGCAAACAGCGCAGCTGCAGCCGGCAGTGCTGCAATAAAAAAAAAGCTGCTGAGCAGCGCAGAATACGCACGCATTTGTCAATTTATCAATGAATTTAGCGGCGGCTTGCCGATGGACTGCGAGTTGGAAATGGTAAATCGAGTTTTCACTGACGTTGAGCCACTAGCCCTGATCTGCATACTGCAAACAGAGTTATTTAACATTGCGCGGGGTCAGCATTGGCGGCATGAAACCCGCTCCAAAAAGCTGTTAAAAACGTGAGTAAAAATAAGTATATTGCTTTGAAGTCTATCTATATAATTCATCACGTTTAGCTATGAAGATCAGTGCCACTTGTACAATGATAATACTCTTGTGCTTCGCATTGCATGTGCTGAGAACATGAGTCCCATTGCGCTATGTCGCCTGCTTCTGCAAGAGAAATACGAACTGAAGCAAAGACCTCTAATTTCCCGGTTGCTAAAGCACCCTCATTTAATTAGTGATTCACGCCTGGCCGCCAACGTACAACAGTGTATATACAGCGACAATCAGGAGGGGCCTATCACGGATCTACGACGACGGATAATTGGCGAAGAGTACGAACTGAAGCTGAAACGACTGGCCAAAGAAGCGGGCATACATTTCTATGATGAGCAAGATTTGCGACGTATGGGATATGACAAGACGCCCGATATCAAGTTGATATTACCATTTATCTACAAGGGGCTTGTAGTAAATTGGATAGAGAGCAAGGCAAATTTCGGTGATCCCAAGAGCCACAAATGGAACATACAGCAGCAACTGCTGAGCTACTGCAACCGGTCAGTCCTTGGTATTGCCCGCTTAATCACATTTAATACATTAATTTATTTCTGTTCAGCTTTGGACCTGGCATCATTATCTATTGGTTTGGCTATCACGAGGAAACCCCGCAGCTGCCGGATAATAATATTGGTATAACAGTGCTGGCAGATTTTCCTGCGCGGGAAGATTTAGTTTTTATGCAGTTGCCAGAGTTAACGTCCGCTGCGAGCAACACAGACATTTCTGTTAGCCTTTAAAATATTCCACTTAGCCCCTTGACATACTGTTATTTAACAGTATTTATTTTTGTATTTATAAATTTGCATTTACATAAATTCTTTTTGATTTTTACAAAGTACAAAAACACATTTTCTTTTTGCATATATGTATAAAACTATGAAGTATAATAATTGCCCTAGAACCCAAGTGCAGTTTTCTAATAATTATTTTGACAAAGTAAAATATTTATTTTAAAGCAAATCAAATGTATATAGTTTTTAAAGATTGGCTGGCGCCCGAGCTTGCATTTTATTTCAAAATATTGATTGTTTGAATTTGTATTGTTGCAATTTTTTCGTACTGGTAGGCAACTCGTCGTTTAGTTGATGACATTTCATAGCTTTTATTCTTATCATTGACCCGCACCCGTACCTTACAAGTCTTTTAGCTCCTCGGGCATGTCGTTTTTGGGATGCTTGTTCTCAAAATGCTGCTTGTAAGTCTTGGGATCCGGCATTTGTGACTGTGTAAAAGATTTGTTGTGTTAATTAACTCAATTTTCAATATATTTAGTATACTTTGTACGCTTCTTACTTTGCACAGCACGCAAACATGAACCAGTGCTTTTTGGGCCGCCTTCTTTTGATCGTTGGCGCTATGACCCTGCTGTTTCTTCATCTTTGCTTGCTTCTCAGCGGCTTTGGCTTGCGATTGTATTTTCTGATGACCGCGTGCCATTTCAAAGCTGTTGCTTTATTTAACCCTACAACGACAACGGTTTTTATAAACTCAAGTGCTGCAATTATTGGTTAAACATCAACAGTAATTCAAGTTTTTTTTGGTTTTTATTTTTGTTAATTAACGATGCTGGTTCGTGTCAACTGTGTGTACTGCACAGCAGGAACAAACGCACACAGTTGGCATTTGGCAATTGCAGCAGCAATAGCGATACAGCCTGTACTTTCTCTTTCGCTTCGATGAGGGAATAGAGAAGTTGTGGCAAAAAGTGTTGTTGCTTTTTGATGATTATTTACGATTCATAAAAATCAACTGCAAGACGTTATCAGAAAGATACTGCCGCGAACACGTCTTGACCACCACCCCCAACCAAATTTATTAACACGTTTCTGCAAAATCAGCGACCACGTTCTACTTGCTCACCTAATTATAAATTTGGTAGTGCGTTCTGCGCCAAATGCAATTGATGGCAAACTTATAAATTTGTGAAATTTACAAACTAGGCTTTTTTGATACCCGAAATTATTGACACTTGTTTAGAGTTTAATTTCCGTAGCGTAGTTTGTTTTTTTTATGGTATTACGAATTGTGACCCCTGCTTTTGTTGTGTTAAGTGTTGTGTAGCGATTTATCGGTTTAACGCAGTGATTAATTGGCCTTCCACCACAAGTTATCGGACTTATGATAACATATCGGTATTCCACAGACGAACGCCAATCTTATTATTAAACAGCACTGAATGTTTCTTTTAAATATGAGAAGCATATTTAATAGCCTGTACATATGCCATCATATGTACATATATATACACACACTTATTTCATACAAACTATACAAATTCAAACAAATGTTATAGTTAATAATTGGGGTATTCCGGCTCCGTGAGTACACGCGCAGAATATCGCATATTTATACCCTGCATTTTGTTGGGATGCGTCGAACCTATTACAGCTAGAGCCTTCAAATTTTGAATGTAGGTCCTCATATGGCCCCGGCAGTTCGAGTTTATTTCGAATGACTTGCCTCGCATACATCAAATCGATAAAAATCCCATATTATTTAAGAGTTAGACAACTCAGAGCTAGATACTGTTAACTTGGTGTGTAGGTGTTGGTAAAATATACAAGTATGGCTGCTCTAACCGGGAGTGACCGACTAGGAGATACACTGAACCTTCTTTTACCATAAACATACGCTGGACCGATTTGAAACCAAGCTGATCTACTTGAGCCACAGAATGACCTGTTAGGCACGTTTGTATTATTTATAACTTAAATGGTGTAATTATAAAAGTAAGATCGGGTACATCAAGTTATGTTTCGTAAAAGTACGTATTTAGTTGATTAAATTTGGCTGTTCATTAATCATGGAATACTAAGCTACACATAAACACTAACCAATAATGGTAACTAAAACAAGTAAGAGGCTCTAGTCGGAAGTTCCTGACTAGGAGAAACCCAAACCCCTTTTCTACCAACACCAAATGCAGCTCATTTTCATTAGCAGAACAAAAACGAATGCTGCCAGTTACATACAATTTCACAAAAACATTATAGGCATTTTATTGGACCACTATATCAGATAGCTGTTATACGAACTATCAGTCGAAAATTTTGTTTTGGCTTATATCGTTTTTGGGTTCATTGAGATATCTTGACCAAACCCGGCATTGAATAATAAAACTAACATGCTTATCAATACCGCAGTACTCCATTATATATATGTATATATATGTCTGACGAATCGGTCCAAGACTCAGTTTTTATATAGAACAATTTTCCTTTCTTTAAGATATTTTCATCAAACTCCGCACTCAAAATGCTCACCATTATCAAATACTTACGTTATGGCTTTATTCCATCTGCCTTACACATATATTTGCAAAATAATTTTACCCTCTTGTCTATCCATTTAGAAGGCTTATTCGGATTGGCTCGAGAATTCAGAGACAGTGCGCCTGATCAGTCACAGAAATAATGTTGCGATCAATCGCGCTTGACTGTGAAAAGCAACGTGACTGGCGGTGCGAAAGACTATGAACTATGTCATCTGGGAGAAGATTATGCAGAGAAAATTAAAAGAAAGACGCATGTCAACTTTTTTTAAACTGAAGTTGGCGGGGATTAAATAATTTCAGGTTTCTCTTGTATTTTTAATATATTTATTTAACTCGGGCAAAGCCGGGTAATGTCATTTAGTCATACTTAAATGTATGTATGCTTCTAAAAAAAGCTATATTGGTAAAAACTTAACAAGGTATAAAAAGTTAGACTAACATGCTTGCATTATTGTCGCAAAACTCGTAAATATTGTCAACGAACTGCATTTCATGTGGAACAACTTGAGCAACTTGAGCTGTCTCCTTATCCTCTCCCAACGTCATTCGCTTAAGGTTGTTTATCAGCGAAATGTCCTGTTTTATCTCGTTTTTTAGCTCGAGAAGCTCGTGTTCCGTTTTAATAATATCCTCCGCATAGGCTTCAATATTTTGCTGCAGCTGACCCACTGAAAGGTCCATTTCCCTACATCTATACCGCTCGTTTTGCAGTTTAAACTGCCTGCACTTGTGGGTTAGCTGGCGCGTAAGATTGTATTCTCTCTCGTATCTCACATTCATCTCTGCGTGCAGCGCAGCCAGTTTGTTGCGCAAGCTATTGCGCAACGGCGCATCCCTGCGGCGCCGTCTAATGCAATGATTGCTGACAAATTTGTCGGAGGTGGTTATTTTATCGCGGTTGTGTTTTCGATGTTTTGTCTTCAACTCGCAGCTGTTTAACTGGGCCTTGACATTGCGGTTGAAGTTCTCGTAATGCTGATCGGGAAGTATGACCAGAAGCACTTCGTCGAGCACTTCATTTTTTCTTTTTGGTGGCAACCAGTTTTCCCTGATTTGGTTGGCCACTTTGGCTGATGGTTTTTTGGCATAGGTTTTGTGCTTATTTTTGCTGCCAAAGTGCAAAAGTCTTTTCAGCCACTTGAGCATTGAAAATCCGTTAGAGGCGGGTGGAGTTAATTCCCCATACTGAGGTGCCAACGATTCCTTGAGCTGTTGACGTTGCTTGAGCGACAGACACAACTATAAAGAGACATGGTAAATGTAAATGTAAATATAAGTCGAAAATATATTTTAAGCGCTCTATAATAATTACAATGCTATTAACCCAAAAAAGCTCCACAAAATTAATAATTACTTTGAATAGAGAGAGGGCACAATCAACTAAATTACCCCCCCAGCCAAAATACAAAAAAAAAAAACATTACCTTTAATATTAAAATCGATAGGTAAGTTTTGTTTTCACTAACGATGCATAATCAAGTGAAATACCATTTAGCTGATATTTATGTACATATATTTATATGCGAACACATACTATGTACTATATAGTATAGTACATGGAGTATAGGCCCATACAGTGAAGTGACCAGTGGTCGGGAGGGGTTCGCTTCTAAGCACCTAATTCGCATTTCCAGTCGCGTGCAGCGCCAGACGGGCGGGCAGACACGAAGCAAAACAAAAAACGCTTATTATGCAATCACTGTCGACTTTTGTTCCTGCATTTGGGCCTAGTTTTTGCACGGCATGTGGCCAGGATATGATGCTTGTGCGCAGGGGGGGCTAGGGTGAAGTGTGGGTTTATCGCATATTACCTCATTGTGCACACGGCTCCAAGCGCGCCAAACAGGTAAAATGGCCATGTTGCCATCGTAGCTGCGCTCGATACCACGCCAACGTTCCGTTATAACGAAATCGTTGTAGTCACGCAATGCTGCTCCTGAGCCATGGTCGCCATCTTGTTTTTTGGGGGACAGCGCAAACGTAACGAAAATAAAAAAGGCACAATAAATATTTGTTAAAACACACACTAATAAGGACTCTGGTCGGAAGTGCCCGACTAGGAGATGCCCTGTACCGAGCTCTTAACTGGCTTACCAACACATACACGTACTTACTTCTATACATACACAAAAACAGCACACAAATGCACAAAACTTGAAATGTGCCTAGAAATAGTCCCGCGGACGGACGGACAGACGGACGGACGGAGAAACAGGGGACCCGATCGTATTGGCTGTTATGCTGCCTTCTGAACGTTACATAATTGGGCTCTAGGTTGGTTAATACAAATATTAACTTACCCGGCTTAATGTTGATGTTGTTGTTATTGTTGTTGCACTGCTCGTCATCTATCAGCGCTTTTATTATATCATTACAAGTGGTCTTGTTGGTTACACCCGATACATAACGTAGTTCATTATGGTTCAGCCAAATGGGTAACTCCTTATCACACTGTTCCTGTTTCCGCAGATAGATAATGCATTGGTTTATTAGTTAAACACCATTTTGAGACAGAAACAAAAAAAATGGTTTCCTATCTTCTGAAAAAGCGTATTCTATCCGAGATTGACCCATGCAGATTATATAAAGGGATCTCAGAATCGGGCTAGCGTTGATGCTCGTTGCATTTACAAATCAATACTAATAGTTAGCTCTCCTGTATCTTTTCAAAAAGGTAGTGAAACCAATTTGAACAGTTTAAGTACAGACGATCCAACAATATATACGCTATCTTCGAAATAGTGTACTATGTTACTTGTAGAAAGGCCTAGAATGAGGCATATCTGACTCGACAGTGTTTACTCAGTATCATAGACGAGTGCATATAGCCGTTAGAATTGATCTCAGGGGTCCCATAGATTATATCAGCTACTATAAAAGCTCTGTGGCTTATGCATAGTTATTAAATTCTCACAAAGATTAGACTGCAAACAAGCGTTGCGTGCGAGCTTAGGTGTGATTCCTGTGCTGATTACAGGATATCTCCTAGTTGAGCACTCTCTAATAGACCACTCTCATTGGTTATCATGCTTAACTTAGTTTAAGACCTGCACTTTTCACTAGACTTCCTAAAACAAATAACTAAAACTCCTTTTGATAGTTACTCAAAGAAATTGCTCTGGTTATTGTATATACATACACATTATATATATACATTGTATTATATACGAAATTCCAGTCTAAGGTTATTAAATGCTTTAAATTGGGTAATCTTACTGGCTTAAATTAATAAGCTGGTAATTATAAGTCAAAAACTCAATTGAGAGTTAAAATTCAACTGTCAGTCTTTTTTTTTTACGGCTCTTCTTGTGATTCAAATGAACAATCTCCAAATACCAGTGTCACTCTGTAAACATTGACACGGCACAAATGTCCACGCGCTTCTTTTCCGTTCACCTCACGGAATAGTATTCATTCGGATGAGTAGAAAAGTAACCAAAACCAAAAATGCTTCGTTCCAAAACAGAACAGAACTGTACTCGATTCAGCTAGCCACCCAAAAAGGAGTTTTGTTTGACTTGACGGCAAGCTCAGGACCTCTTATTTACGTACTTACCACGGTGCTATTAGCGCCGCATAGGGATACGAAACGATGGCGATGACGTCTACTGGTGACCATGTGCTGGCCATTTCCAATTCCATTTCCATTTCCGTTTGCCATGTTGCCGTGTTTATTTTGGCCCCGTTGTGTGGGCGGTGGGGCATCGATGAATGCGTTGGGTGCTGTCACCTTGGCATCTATCAAAAGATTAGCACTTGGCTTCTTGAGGTGGGTGTTGTCTTGATTTTGATGATGACGATGACGATTTTTGGGTGGCAGTATTGGGCTATCAGGAAAATTCAAAAGCGGCGTACAAGACTCAGGATTATTATCGATGAATGTTGAATTTTGTTGTTGCTGTTGCTGCTGTTGTTGTTGCTGTTGTTGTTGTACCGCCATTTTGGTCAAATCGGCCCACTAATTGGTACTGGAATGGAAAAAAGCAGGTAAAAGCTAATTGTAATTATAGGTGTTTATATATGTGTAAATGTGTATTTCTGTTCATATGCATGTATATTGGGCTTGATTTTTTTAAGCACGCAAAACTTGTGTTTGTGGTGGTTGGTTCTATGGAAGCCCACGACTAACAATCCATTAAGATTTGTTGGTAGCGATTAAACAAATTATGCATGAGTTTCACATTGCATGGCATTGCCATTGCCTACCAACTTATGGGCGGTGGTTCAATAAACACCACAACAAAATCCACCTGCCCAGCCAATTGCCCTACGTCAATTCCTGGAAAACTATTCAGCAGCTTTATGGCCATCATTTTCATGCTAGACTTTTCCGTGCTTCTGCTGCGGCGCATAATTTCTTTCTGTCTGTACATAAATTCCATTTTTTAGATTAGGTGTCTGTTTGCATAGAAACATTTTTTTTTCTAGTCATTTTCACAATTTCAATGCAAATCTGTGCCCGGTTTCATTAAGCTGACACTTTTAAATTGTAACAGATAGACGTCAGACGGATATGGATATATTAACTCAGATCGTCGTCCTGATTAATAATTTACGTATGAACTATTTGGGATCAGAGATGATTTCTTTCCTGCATGCTGCATATTATAAGAAATTTACTGTTTACTGTTTTTTACTATCTGGTAGAATGTTAAAATGAAATGATGTAATGTTCATCCACTAATATTATGTTCTACTGAACATTATTATAAACATATATGACCAGTTAACATTTCTCCTTTTCGAGTAAGCCATGTTTGTTCTACACATGCCTTCTGTCAGTATGCTTTTTTCGAGTGAGCTTTGCAAGATAACGAGAAACCCTTTTCTATACACTTTTATTTGATTTATTGTCAAGCATACAGGGACACATCATTATCTATGTACATATATTATTGAATTGTATAAACATTATAGACATATTTGCTTGTTCATTTGTCTCTTTCTATGCAAGATAGGCGTTAGACCTATGCAAGTTCTATGATGTAGCAGGCAGTATCCAAGTCTGAATAGGCTATCAAATAGCTGTAATAGGAATGATCTGTCGAACATGATTTGTCAATACAAACATATACAAATATGCTCCCATATCAACGAAATCTTACTAGCTAGATCGGTTAAAAATTAAGTCATTATATGAAAAACTTTATTGTTTTTCAAGATAATTTATGAAATTGGGTTTCAAGATATCTTTACGAAACTTAGTTATTATGAGCTCTAGAATTTTCCTCGCGTATCTGCAAATTATTAGCCGTATATCTGAAAGGGCATTTAATGTAAGGCGTGCCGAAGATAGTCATACTTTCTTGTTTTTATCAACAAGTAAGAGGTTCGACTGGGAGATATCCTGAACCGCGCAACGATCGATTTTTATCGATCGCTTGGAAACCGAGTAAGTTATCGATTATAGGAAACAAATTCGATCTGCGCAGGTACTAGGAGGACCTACAGCTAAAATTCAAGTCTCTAGCTGTTGTAGGTTCTGATATCCTTGCGTTCATACATACGACGGGCGGACGGACAGACGGATATGGCTAAATCGACTCGGCTATTGATGCTGATCAAGAACATATAAACTTTAAGGGGTCGGAGATGCTTCCTTCTGCCTGTTACATACATTTGCACAAAAACATTATATCCTTTTTACCCCTTTTCAATGGGTTCAGGGTATAAAAATACATATGTTCCACTTGCACTTGACCGACGACATCAAAACAATCTACGCCCGTCGATCGGTCGTGAAGTATTTCCCTAAATGGCTTCCAGGTGGAATGAGGCGCTGCATTTCATATGCAGGGACACGCCCATGCCATCGCACCCCTTGCTCCCCACCAGGCATCCGTTCATGTCAATTCAGTCTTTGAGCTACACATGCAAACATTCATATAAAAAATATGAAGTTTTCAATCATGATAAGTTAAAATGGCAGGTCCTCGGACAACTTTGCAGAACAATTATCTCAACGCGTGGCCCTGACGTTTTAAGTGCAACTAATTCTAGTAAGTATAAACCCTTGTGCGGGATGATTGCCTATGATTAATAAATGCATTGTATAGTGGCTGAAAGAAACTCAGACACTAATACTTTAGTTCAGGGCCCTAATGTTCTATCTATAGCGCACAGAAAAACAGCAAGATTTGATTTTAACTTATAATTAACTAGCTGGTATTCTGCGGTCTTCCCCGGTTAGAGTTTTTTGCTTCGAACTCGTTTAAACAAAAGTATATTTTAAAAGATTTTATATTTTAATTTTATGTAAGTACGATACAAAATTGATGTCGAAAAAACTTGTTTGAAAAAAACTTTAATGGGATAGAGCCGGGAAATATCTCCTGATAAATATTCATAGCGCATAAAACCGTTTTTCGCCAAATCGCTGATCAGTAAATTCTTAGTTTGCAGCTGATCGAACCAAATTTACATTCAAAATTTACCCAAAAATCAATCAGGGTTGGAAATTATTAAATACATTTTGAAGAAGGATGAGTTTTCCGAAAAGTATGAAATATCTTCAAAATAAATTTGAACAAAGTTCATTAAAAATGAGTTTGAGGTTAGGATAGTAATCAAAAAAGTTTCTACACTTGCCAGTGGGATTTTCCAGAACCTCGTCGTGACGTGCACTCTCATTACATAATGCCTCTATAGCACAACTTTCAGCTTTTCAGCGGGTTGATTACAAATCAGTCAATCGGTCAGGACAAAAAACTTATATTTATAGAGATTAGCCGAAAATGTATCTAAAAAGTTATTAAGTGAATATACTCAAATTCGTTAAACTTAAAAATTAAAACCCTGTAAGACTATAATCAAATTGACTGCAATTTTTGTTCGAACATGACACCTATAATAGCGGAAAGCCACTATTGCCATAGCTCTATGGTTACACAATTCATTACTGCATTCATTGTCCTGCTTTCTTGACGTATTACGGTCGTAAGTTGCGTGTTTACTCTAGTTTTTTGGTTATTATGATATCTTCATTAAATTAGTTAGTTATAAGCACGCCTTATATTTAAAGCAGAGTACATGGTATCTTATAAGAGCCATTGGGAACTCAGTGGGTCTGCGAAAGTCGTTGTGTAAACCGGGAAGAAGGACAGACGTTGTAGTTTGGAGCCGGGTAAAGGATATTTCACTTCCGACTTGGGCATTTCTTGTTTTTTGAAGATGAGCACACATCTTGTGGAAATGGTTGTTTAGTTTTTTTTTCGGCCGCACCCATTAAGAATCAAATTGGGCACTCTTAATTGATGTAAAATATTTAACACAATTGTTAAGATTTTCATTAAATATTTTATTTCAGGCTGTTTTGGTCCACACATTACATTTTGGCACCCGCAGAACCACAGAATATTATATAATCGACTGTGAATTCTCCCAGTGCCAAGATGAAATGGCAGAAGCTCTGCTTTCCGTAGAAGAACACAACATTCTCTGGCGAGTTGATCAAGAGTAGACTTACCATTAGGTAGGTTTTGCTTCTATTGTTGCTTTATTCGGGTTTTCTTTGCTTGGGTTAATTTTAATAATTGTTTGAATAATATGAAATAACTTTTTGTTTTAGTTTGTTTTTCGGTTTTATGGATGGGGATTCACACTTGCTAGCTTAGCTGGTGACCAGCTGGTGAGCTAGAGGCACAGGACATGTTAATCCTTTGAGCTTTGACACTTGACTGAAGTTCAAATTTGAATTTGCAGCTACGTAACGTGTTTCTTAACGTCAGCGTCAGCAGCGTCGACGCCAGGCAGCGCTGCCGGAAATTGCTAATATTTCTTCTAGATCTAGACAGGTGCTAGGTGCTAAGCTGCCGTCCTTGTCTGGCTGCAGTCACGGAAGAATAGCCCCAGCATATGTGCAGCTCGTATATATTCAAATAATGCCTAGGACTAGCAGGCGCTTCACACACATTCAAACGCACACATAGGTGTAGAGGGAGTGCAAGAGCTAGTCATTAGTTCTACAGTCCTGTAGCTGGTTGCCGTAGCCGTTGCTGTAGCCGTTGCTGTTGTCGTTGCCAGTGACAACTCGCAGGTCGCGTTCAATGCACAACAAACAAAACTGAACGATGACGTATCCTTGACGACGGCATGTGACTAACTAAAATTTTATTTGCTACCACACAAAACTTTAAAGCAAAACCGGGCAGCTACAAACGCACACGCACACCTGCCACGAACATGCACGCACACACAGATACACACACACACGTACATGGCACGGCAGAGAGAGGGTCTAGGGGTAGTTAGGTTCTGGTTGCTGCCGTCATCAGCGACTGTTGTTGCTGGCAGTAGCAGCTAACAACTGGTCCGTTGTCGTTTTTTGGCCAACCAGCACCAACCACCAAGCAAGCGAAGTCGCGTTTTGTCGTATTACCAATTTCCCACTTGCCCTATAGACAGGCGATCCACATGCGACCACTCCTTCAATCCACATTATAGTTCTTTTTTATAGCGTGCCACGGCGACTACTACAACTACAACCCTCCACTCCCTTCGATGTTGTTAGTATTTCTTTTATTCTTTTTTCACCATTACCAATGCTCGGGCGTTATTTGGTAAAACCAGATTGTTGATAAAATGCCACAGTAAGAACAACAATAACTAGCCGTACATAAAATGTGTGTACCTTGCTGGCAGGACCTAATTCTACGACTGGGGTTTTATGTGTATTCTATATTTTATTGTTAGTGGGTAGCATTTGGCTTTAAGCTCGATTTTCTTTTACACTGTAACATTTATCTTCATATTGCCGAAAACTTAATACCCTTGCGTAAATTAGACTATGTATTAAACTAATAATAATGTCATGTTGATGCGCTTTCGCTAAAGTATAAATAGCATTTTATTACCTTTTTCTTTCAAAACAAAATGTGCGATTTGGTTGATAACGGCTTTTTGGCTAAGTTAAAAATATCCTGACAGAAAAGCCTACTCTCGAAATGTGTTTTCGTTGAACATCATGGACATCATTGCTAAGCAGCAGTAAAAAAGCAGACCTGAATGTAAATTATGGTAAATTTCTATCAATATGGATCCAAGTCTAAGTACGCAAAAAAATATATCTTAAGACGAATTCTAAATAATGGCAATTTTATGCTTAGTTTCGATTGCGGTTTCAAACAAAGCTTTTCTCATACTGTTCGTTTTAAAAATATGACAAAATAGTACACTGTTGATTAAAATTTAATTATTATTAGGGAGTATACTGTCCGCACTAATCGGGAGTGGCCGACTAGGAGATATTTTGCTACCCAAAAAACAAGAGCACGCGCGTTTGATCTGCGCATGCGATAGAAGGACCTATCGGATCCTTTTTGCCAATTTTCAATGGGTGCACGGTATAAGAAAAGAGCATCGATTACATCAACTGATGTTTAGCAGTAATGAAAAATTAGTTGATTTCATTGGAAAGTGCATACGTATTGCTTATTGTTTATTATAACATGCATACTTAGACACCTCTGCATACATGAATTCATATAAACACAACACAGAAACAAAAACAGAAACGCTCGCTTAGACGTTTAGCCAACAAAATACCCTTTATTTTGTACATATGTAATGTAAATATTAAATGCAATATGTGTATATTTTCAAAAGGTTTGGGGCATACAACTTATTGTTTTAAAATAGGTTATCAGATATTGAATAGATATTATTTTATAATAGATATGTCAATTGTGTATATTAAAGTCCACCCACTCCGAAATATGTATAGACCGTTACATCAAAGAATAATATGCAAATTTATATTTAACAAAAACTTTGTTATGCTCACGGCGATGAGAGTCTTTCTGTTTAGCCAGTTTTTGGACTGACACATTCAGCTGTGTTTTAAACCAGTTACTCATTTAAATTGGTAAAAAAGAGATAATATAAGTAACAGCAAAAATATGATATATCCGATCCCGTAAGGTATTTAAGGCAAACTTACTTGATAAACCCTTCTGCCTTGTGCTATGATTGTGTCACGATAAGTTAACAATATATGACATTAACGTGTTTTGCTATAAAAAATCATATAAGAATCAAATAATCACATCATAATCACTAATGACAGCAACTTTCTATAGTCTTATGTATATGCTGATTATGTATGTATATAGAGACAAATTTCATCAAAATCGGTTGTAAAAACCGAAGCTCCTCACGAAATCCTATCCTATATTCTGGGTTGAAGAAAAGAAACAAAGCAAATTTTAAATTAAATGCTATCTTAGTTGTTTGGGGAAACTTCTAATTAGTGGCTGGAACTTAAGCCAGCTCGGGGTTGAGTTTTTGGGGGTAAAAAATTGTAAATTGCTCTCTCTTTCTTCTATTTTCTATGTTATCGTGTAGTATTTCTCAGGGAATAATAATAATAATAAAATAATTTGGGTAGCTGTCGACATGTAAAGATGCACTAAACAGCTGCTTACATTTTTCTGAATATGCAGATTAGCGCTATATGGACAGTTATAAAAACAATTATTCTTTTATTTATTATTATTTATTAAACAAAATTAAATAGAAAGGAAACACCGAAGTCCATTCTTACTGTTGAAAATTATAGTATCGTATCGTATTCAACTTTCTTGCAACTGGATTACCCTCCGATTGGCATTAAACACATTTTCAATGTACTTTAAATGGCATCCTCACGTATTTCTAGTAATGTTAGTCTAAATTTAAGCATTGTATAAAAAAATCAAAAATAAAATCGATGTCTTGAAGTATCGAAATATTCGACTACAATTGATCCTATTCATTTGTAAAGTATTAAACTAAATTTCTAAGCTATTTAATGCATATATATTTAAAGTTTTGCACATCCGAATATAATGTGCACAACAATATTAACTCCGATCGTGCACACTGCAAATATATCTTCTGTTAATTTTACTGATAGGGTCCCATGGTTTGACGATCTCCTCTAAGAATCTGGATAAAGTATTACGGCCTCATCCACCTCTGGCGTTACGACAGCAAATCGAAAGTTAAAGAAGTAGCAGTTTTAGAGTTACAGTTTTAGTGTGTCAGTCTTGAAGTCAAGAACAGCTGACTTGGATACCCTTCCATTATTATTATTATTAACATTGTCTACCAATGGCAGTTACTAATTGCAAGGAGGGGTGAAAATGTATTACGAATGTGGGTACGAATTTCCAATGCCTGCATTGAGCCTCGTGTCAACTGCGATGCGGCTGCCGTTGCTGTTGCCGCCACGTTGCAGCTGCAGGTGTAGAACTCAACGAGCGTAACGAGGCGAGGCTCAAACCCTCAGGTCGAGTAACAGAGTCCGGTGGATAGGCAGTTGGGCCAGGCACGAGAGGCTGTTGCGCTGGTCAAAACACTTGTCTGCTTGACGAAAAAAATGTAGGAACCTGTTTTCGGGCGCGCGGATATTGCAAGCTGCTTGCTTCAGTGGCAACCACTTGACATATGGTTCCTTTGTTAGGGGTTGTTCCGTTAAGATGCCGCCGGCTGCTTCCGTGTGCATTGACCTGAAAATTCGCGCTATCTTTTCGAATACCAGAGCTGAAAGGCAACCGAGACCTTTAATTTGTTTATTTTTTGTTTTTGGAAAAATCGTTATTAATGCAAAGCTGTTATTGGATTTGGTATGCTCTTGGTGTTGTTTATTTTTATTTGTTATTTCTTCTTATTTAAAACTGTTTGTTAAAGTATTCACCTTATGTGTAATGTTCACAAGTTTGCTTAAATTGAGAGTTTAGTGGCTTCAAAATGTTCATTAACCTTAAGGAAGGAATGTACCTAAATTGGGATTCGAATGCAAATTAAATTCTCCAATATAGTATCTTGTAGAGCAAAGCAAGGACACATTCGACACACTCGACCCGATAAAGTGTATATATTCTAAATCAGCATCAACAGCCTAGTTGATATAGTCAGGCTTAAGGCTATCGTTCATAGGAACGTCTTCATTTGCAGGCAGTACATAATTAGGTTAAAGGCGGTTAAAGGAACGATTAGTAAAAAATGAAGTCCTTGTATAAGAAACTCTTTTGTTTCTAAAGATATATTAAATATATTCAGTACAAATTCAGTAGAATATATGTAGAATCCTATCAACATCAGACCCTGAATCTTGTGTGAACAACTATTCAGCTTTATTATGCTACTTATCAATATCGTTTTACGATATTATATAAATTTAAAGGAAGAATCTATTGAAAAATAAGTTGTAAGGCAAAAAATTCCGTTTTCCAAGATATCTTCACCAAACTTAACTGCTATGAGCTTGTTTATTCCTACATATCAGCTAAACCACACGGAAAATGTCATCAAGGGTATTTAATCTTTGACGTGTCGAACATGTTCATTCTTTTTTGTTTTAATATTATTATTAAAAAATTTAAACTTTAATCAATTACAAAAGTATAAAATCCCGCTGTCCTTTATACCCTGGATTTATTGAAATTTCTTAAAAGAAGTATAATGGTTATGTCCAAATATATGTAACAGATAGATAGGCACATCTTCGATCGTATAATGTATATAGAGTGTGTATGTATGTAGAGTGTCAATGACTATAAAAACTAGAGACTTGAAATTTTAAATATGTATACTCCTATACCATATGCAGGAGGAGTTTATAGATTTTTA